ATCCATCCATCCATACTCCCAAGCTTTCGCGTTTATAATATTAATAATATTTGTGCACTAATCTCTAGCTTTACCAGTCCGATTTTAATTAACCTTTCATAATTTGGTAGATCAATACTTGGAAAAAATTACAGGGTATTTAAAAATCACGCTACGCTCTTTTTTCCAACCTTTCATTAAAGAAGACGGCGAGTGAAACTGCTGGGCACAGATAGTATGCATTTAAATTGAAATAATTACACTGATTATATATGTTAAATATCTTATGTATTTCTTGAAAAGCAAAAACTCGAATCATAGACTCGGAAATAAAATACATTCAATCGTTAGGTCATTCAGGTACTTTCATGACTAGTAACCCGTCTCGACTTCTCCCGAATTATATACGTAATATACATAATACATAGCCTATTTTCATAACTATTATTATTACGAATTACACAATTTTAAATCCTTTCAAAGTTTTCAAATAGCAAAAACAACATTTCTACAATTTACCCTACACACTCTTATAACTCTCTTTACGTTATAATTGTACATTTATATAAGTAATTTAAATACAATTTTTCTTAAAAAAAATCTAATATTGTTTACGATACTACATAGTATAAAACAAACTCACGGTCGCTGTCTGTCCGTCCCAATGTATGCTTAAATCTTTAAAACTACGCAACGGATTTTGAACCTATTTGAGTGATTCTAGAGAAAGGTTTATATAATACATCTTCACTAGTAGCTAGTTCATCATCATCATCATCATCGCAGCCCGGAAGACGTCCACTGCTGAACATAGGCCTCCCCCAAAGATCTCGTAGCTAGTTACGTAGTATAAAACAAAGTCGCCGCTGCTGTCTGTTCGCTTATATCTTTTAAATTGTTAAATTGCGCAACGGATTTTAATGCAGTTTTCAGCTATAGATAGAGTGATTCAAGAGATAGGTTTATATGTATAATACATGCGTGTTATAGCATAGAACAAGTCGAGAAATTCAAAGAATTGTAATGCATCCGTGCGAAGCCGGGACGGGTCGCTATTGCCATATAAATAAAAATAATAAGTGCAGTAAGAAACAAGTCATAAACAATATACCCAATTAAAACATCCCGGACAAACGGCGTGCAATGTCGGCCACTCAAACATACGAGAGTATAATTGGCCAATTTAGATACTGACCGATATCCGAACAGATACGTAATGCTCTTTACACTCTGGTTGCTTAAGAAAGCAGATTCCGTGGCTTCAGCTCTGTGCCCAACAGGCGGAAAATCAATTTAAAAACACCATAGTCCCCGATTTACTAAGCGTGCAATTTCTTTCAATATTTACATTAATAATAATAACAATAATAATAGTCATGGACAATTTACGCAACGCCATCTAATCCCAAGGTAAGAAGAACATGTGTTATGGGTACTAAACAACTGATAGAAATACTTTAATACATGTACATAATCTACATAGTAATCACCCGGAGCAATACAGACAATCATAGTCATGAATAATAAGATTTATGTCGTGCGTGGAATCGAATCTGCGACCATAGGAAGTAAGACGGTGTGTTAAACCACTAGACCACCGATTAATCTACATAAAGATCGATTTAGACTTTGCAAATAAAATATATTCCTAATTAACATTTCATGATCAAATCGTCCCTACAATAACAAGAGGTAATATATACAGCAGTCTTTGTTTAACCTATTTCTTTAGTTAAGCTATTACTAGTGTTGATCAGCTTGTTTTGTAAGTTATGTACCTAGGTGACTTTCCGTCGATAACAAATTCGTTGTAAGAAATTGCAACTATTATAATACAGTTGGCCGCAGCTGGCCTTTACAGCTTCACCGGACGATAATTAAGACAAGCACAATGTAACTCCAAACCCGCGAAAGGATTTATAGAGAAGCTGATGGGTCTGACAGATACGACTGACTACTTTGAACATAGGCTCAGGCTGTTGTAATTGCAATCTCTGATATCATGGGACGAGGTGCAACCAGGAGCCAAAATAAGTAGCGTCACAGATACTCATCTTAACATCCTCCACTGGTGCCCCGCCAGAGTAAACCGTTAGCGCAGGCGGGTGCACCATTTCATTATCATCCACAAAAAAAAACATATGTGTCTGACTATCTGTAACGCTCGTGATAATTTTAATGTGTATTTAACAGTTACCAGTTTCTAAGAGATGGGCTGTCACTTTGATTGCCATTTTAATTTCAAATGAAATCAAGGAGTTATCATCGACTGTGATATCAGTTAGCTTACATTATCAGAATTCTTATACTTATTTAATAAATAGCTATATAACTAAACTGCCTCATATCTTCGTACTCGCAAAAGTTGGCTGGTAGAGAATGCTAGAATAGAAAATCATTTATTCAAATAAACTTACATTGAGGCATTTTTACACATTTTACATTGAGGTCATCACATTTTTTTCAATATACCGCATTCGGAAAACTGCCTCATCAGGAGTAGAAAATTGTGTCGTTCTTTTAAATAATTTGTTATTACTTTATATTTTTCAGTTGAACTGTACGAATACAAACTACCAACAAGTACTAGTTCAATTAAATACTCAAATAGAGAAAATATTAAATATACAACCAACTGGTTGAAGAGATCAGTTGTAGTGATTAGAGCAGACCAGTCCCTAGAAGCAGCACTTGTTCATGTATATGCTGTATGAGCCAGCCATCATTGAGCTTGACCATATTTTAGGGAATCCAATGGCCGGGCCATTGGACCCACCACGCCGCCACATGTCTGGACATTTTAGTGAGCATGTTAATGGAATTAAGCCCGCAATTGTACAAAAATTCAATAAAGTTTAAATAAATAAATATCAAATGAGCTGCAAACCTATTGCTGATGATCTAATTCTATGTATATTCTCCAATAAATATGCAGACTAGTGTTCAATTAGCAATCATGTTGACATCTCAGGAATGGAAATTAGTGACCACAATAAATCTGTTGTGAATCTCAATGTTGTAAGATGAATGCTATCTGAATGTTAAGAAGTTTTATATCAGGTACTCTATTACTAGATTAACAGTGATATAGTACCTAAAGGATGATGTAAGTAAACAAATATAAAATAAATAAATAAAGTTGAATGTCTGTTTGTAAAATCAAACAGCTTTTCATTCAATGCATATAGGGTAAAGTATATAGGGTACTCACATAAAAAAATTTGTATTAAGTATTTTTGTCTCTCTGTCTATATATTAGTTCTTGCTAAACTCTGAAACAGTTGTATCAACTTTGAAGGGACTTTCAGGCAGCTAAGTAATGCTATAAGGAGTAACTTTAGAATTTTATTAAAAAAAAATTAATTCCATGCGGACAAAGTCACATGTAACAATTAGTCTACAATAAATTCTTCTCCATATTTAAGATAACTGTGTCATTTCCCTTCATGGATGGTGAAAGAAACTTTAATTCATATCTCAATAAAACATTGAAAAATCAACTTTGTAGTCTTCCCTTTAAAAATGGTTTAACTATAAGAATATTTTTTCACTAAATTAAATACTAAACTTCTTGAACAGATATTACCAAAGTTATTTATTGATAACAAAACCACCCAACCACAAAATACCACCTACACATTCATAGTGCTGTCTTTATCAATTCTCTATACATTAACATAAATTATATGTAGCACCAGTTACTATACAGAATGAGACAAAATTAGACAAATTTAATATATATGAGACTAAAATTAAAAACTTCAATACTGCACTTAGTCCATCAGATATGCTGTATGTTTATTGGCCACCTATATAATATGAAAAAAAAACTTAACAGTTTTAATTGCAAACCAAACTTAGCTTGCAACTGCAATTCTAAAATGGTTCATAGAAAATTGTAAACTTATATTATTAATCTATTACAATTGAGATATATTAATAACTTTGTGACATAATTAAAACTTATATTAAATTATAGTAAATGCACTAGTTCCTTAGGTTAGCACATAAATATAGTAATTAGTGTATATGATGCATTAACTAAAATATTATAACAAAATATCTTTCAACCATAAGACAATGTGTAACTGTTCATAGACCTAAAAAAATAAAAAATAAATATTAGGACCCTGATAATCAGATCAATTACAAGCTATTTAAATGTATAAAATGTTAAAATTATATAAATTAAGAACAAATAGATAGGTACCAGGATTTGATTTAATAATAGCTGAAGTAGTTTTCTACCCTAATACTGCTTTTCAATATTTATGTGTACAATTCCATTTGTGGAGACTTATCATACATTATATTATGACTTATTATATATACCATACAATATATATTTTTTATTTCTCTTACATTGGTGCAGTATATTCAACAGAATCCAAAAAAGGAGGAGGAAGTTATCACATCAGGTGGATTTTTTTCATAACTCCTTCATTTATAAACTGATTTCAAAATACCTTTTTTTTAAAGAGTATACTTACAGATAGGTCCTTCTTTTTTGTGTTTGGTGTCAGTTTTATTTTGATAAAATAAGTATAAAAAAAAATAACAACAGCAGTTGAAAGAACTCAATTGAATTTATTAGGAGTGTTGTTATGAACAGAAAATTATTTTTCGTTAAAATAAAATTGGGGTGGTACCTACAGATAAGACTGTATGTAAAACTAATAAAAATTGCAAATGCTGACAAATAATAACATTAACAGTTTTGGAAAATTAATAGTTTCGGAAAATATTCATTTCTAAAAGTGTGCCTTCGAAACAATCAAAGAAATTTTGAGATAAGTACCGCAATTCCTTACTACATAGGAGTAGATAAGCACTATACAAATTTCTTTATAATATTTAGAAGTTCTATTAGCTAATAATTACGAAAGTAATTACCGCCAACCACATCATACGATACGAGCTACGGGACAATTCCGAACAATATCTAGGGCGAAATACCGGTCGAGACTCAGTCAGTTCATCTCGACCACGACGGCTAGTAATAAAAAAAAATCACGACCTACCTTCATATCCGATACAATCTGCTGGTACAAACTCCACAAAGGAGAGCAATCCTTCTCGGTAGTCCCCTCCATTGTCAAATAAACACAAAAACAACACAATAATAATAAGAATCACGATCAAACACTCTTAGGAATCACTATCGAGCCATTCCGAAACATCGACAACTGTTGCATTTTCGTAAATCTATCTATTATTCTTCTACGTTTCGCAGTTACCTACATTTCATTCCACATTTAAAAGCACATTAGAAACGTTAGAAAACACTGTATGCAACCAATCAATATTTATAAACACGGACAGACCCCATGTAATCCTTACATCAGGGTGAAAATCACTGTATTTGTGTAAAAAGTAAAAGTTTAAGGCGCAAAAATCTTGTAGGGATCGTAAGAACATAACATTCATTCACGAAAATTCATTTTTCACATGTTTTATTACACAAACATACGATTAAATAATACCAATAAATATCACTCCTAAAGGGACGACAGACAAGAAGATCGGACTGAATCGTTTTGTTTGTTGCATTGTTGCGTCTTGGGATGTGATTCGTCAATCCGATAACAAGTGTTGCCATAACGAAAAAGAAGTTCTAGTGATGTGAATGAAAATAATTTTCATTCAGTTTTTAGGTTTGAAGATAACTTTAATCAAAATTATTCAGTTCAGTTATTCTTATTGACGATATAATCATAATTATTAATAATCATGACATACCAATATTTTAATACCATTCACTCATAATTGAGTTAAATTAAGGTGACCAACTATTTTTTGTTCAAATAGAGTACACTATGTAAGTATTTCATAGTTGAAAAAAAGAAGAAAAACAATAAAAACTTAATTTTCTTTAAAAAAAATAATTTATTCTGAGTGGTTTTTTTGCTAAATGAGAATGTTCGTCTAATAAGGTAGCCACATCCGAACAACTTTCATTTTACATATCAAATTTGACTGTTAAGATGGCAGATGTTTTTACAGAAAGTTGCGACTTCTGACTGTTTCAATAATCATTCCCTAATGAAAATACCCTTTCAACAGCAACATACGCGCCTGAATAACATAAGGAAATTTCTATTAAAACTTAAATTTTCATGTGGGATATGTTCTCTAAAATGCCTCAAATCACTGCCAAAATAATTTCAAATATTTAATTAGTAAAATAAAATAATCTGATAAAATGTTTTAAAATACAAATGAGCATAAAATTATACTTTCAGAGTACAAGATTTGAAAAGAGTACGGTTTGCGAAAAAATAATACAAAACTCAGTAAAGAAGTATAGTAGTTACAACACCGTAGTTAAAAGTAAAATACAAGCCAAACACAATAAGCCTTGCTTATTATGTGAAAAATCATTACCGCTTCACATTATACAACACTATAAAAATCAATCAAAGAAGTCATTCCTTTTCATTATCATTCGTTCTTGACTGTGATCAACAACAAAACAATGCAGACAGACTGATGTACATGTCAGACAATATGTCAATTTCTTACATTGAACAATTTTATCTTAAGCTCAGACATAAATATTTTTTTATGTTTATGTTTTATTTATCTTTTATTATTATAAAATACTAAATATTATGGTGTAGAAATTATCAATATGTCAACAATTAAAAACGACACGGGCGCTAAGCCTGGGAGCATTTATCGAATTGCGCTTCAAAACTTTGTGTAAGTAATTTTTGCGCGCCTTTTCTACAATTAAGTTTTGTTGGTTATTAACTGTTGTTTATATTTTAATTCTTAATGTATTAAACTAATTTAGTAATAAAATATTATGTGTAAAATTGCAGAACATATAAACAAGTTGAGTTATTTCCCGGGCCGTCGTTGAACATGATTATTGGTCCAAATGGAACCGGCAAATCAACATTTGTTTGTGCCATTATATTGGGACTATGTGGTAAAACCAGCGTCATTGGGAGAGCTAAGAAGGTAAAGCACTATTTTTATTGTAGTTTACTGCATGTTTTGCTCTGGGAAGGGTAACTGGCTAACTAGCATGCAGTTTGCTGTTATTTATCTGGAATTGCTTAAATAATATCTTTCCTGATATTATATAATATTAGTTTCAAATTACACTCTGTTTAATTACACTTGGCAGTGCTTTAGTAACCGATTTAGATATATCTATTGATAGAAATACTCATTTAAAGATAAGATAAACAGTAGTATATGTTATCAAGTAAGACAAAATACTTATTTATTTATTATGGATTAAAACACACACAATTATTGTTATACAACACTTTTCAATAGATGATTTTTTATGTCCATGGTGCCGATCATGTATATTGGCGATGCTTACCACACACTGTCAGGTTATTGCCATTCCGACTAAAAAGTCTATGAATTTAATTTTCTAGATTTCGGAATATGTGCGAAGTGGCTGTCAAGATTCTACGATAGAAATTGAGCTCTACCAACAACCTGGTCAACGTAATGTGATAATTACTAGGAACTTCAACCTGAATGACTCATCCACATGGTCTATTGACCACAAAACTGTCAGGGAAAAGCAAGTGCAGGAGCTTATAGCATTACTAAATATACAGGTAATGTTTTTAAATAATTGCAATGCCAATGGAGTGGCAACAATGAATATTATCGAGTGAGTGTTACCACTCATGTATGGAGGGAAGAGGATTGTTAGTAATGTGAATTAATAACCCCATCGCTAGCAATTTACCATGTCATCCATGACATACATGCGGTTCTTCCTGGAAACTATTGTGTTAAATTCCTGGTGAATTTACCATGATGAACTAACTGACCTAACCTCATACTCATCTTACCATCATCCATTGGTACCCCGTCAGCATATACTAGAGCAGGCGAGTTCACCATTCTATTATCATCCCTTAAAGAAACTCATATATTGGCTCTGTAGAACTAAAGGTTCATGTTTCAATACCCTTTAATAAAAGAAACAAATTTCCAGAGAGATATGGTTGTGAATGCATATTGTTATGCCCACTGTGATATAATTTGAAAGAACTTTGGAGAAATATAAATATAAAAGAGAGTTTTATTAGGAGAAGTGTATATGGTATATGAAATTCATCATAACTATTACGCCCAATTTACACTCAACCCGAGTGGGCAGGGAAGTGAGCAGTGCGAGAGTGTAAACACGAGTGGAAACACTTCCCGTGCCACTCGCGCTGCCCGGCGCTCCCACGATTGTCGGTTTTTCGTGCGCGAGTCAAAGGGCTGGCAGCGTGTTTTTACATTCAGCCCTCTCGCTCAGTTGTCGCCCGGCAATATTTCCGGCAGCGCGAGTGGCAGGGGAAGCCGCTGAATGTAAACATAGCATTAAACAGGGATATGATTTTTGTTTTTACAAAATTAAACGTGTGTGAAAAAATAAATGTGGAATACTGAACAGATTTATATACTTTTCATCTATAGAAAATTACATTGTCAGATAGTAACATATTTTGTTTTATAATAAAATGCATGTCACAAAATCAGGGTATAAAGACCCTTTACTTCCTTTATATATGAATGACAGAAGAGTTTTAATAATTCCACAGGTTGACAATCTATGCCAGCTATTACCACAAGATAGAGTGCAGGATTTTTCTAAAATGGACCCTCAGCAGTTGTTAAGGAGCACACTTTCAGCTGTTAATGGACAACAGAGTGTCAACCAATTGGACGAGCTTATAAAGTGCAGAGATCAACAGAGGGGATTGTCAACAAAACTGGACAATAATGCTCAGTTGATGCAGGAACAAATTAGACTAAATGAGAGGTAAGTACCATAGGTATACTATTGTAGTAGCTCAGTATGGGTAAAATAAAATCACTATATTAGTCATATTCATTTTATTGACAACTATTTACAAAACTTATCTGCGAAAAATTATATGATTATCTAAACAGGTATTTGAATACAGTGAGGAGAGGGCAATACAAGTGCGCTCCTGCTCGCACCAGGTTTATAAATATAGGCGAGGCGATCGCGTTGCGCTCCGGCGCCCCCGGGCGCCCCTCCGATCGATCCCCCGTCCAATTCAAACGGGGATCGAAATTACGGCGGCCTGAGCCGAGGTTCGAACCCCTAGTGGTGCCCTCAGACTAAAGTCGTATCCGTCGGGCAGGAGTTGGCCTTCAGCCGCTCCATAAGTCCTTCCGCGGGTTTGAAGTGCCATCTGCACTCGCCCCATAACGTCCGGTGAAGCTGTAAAGGCCAGCTACGGCCAACAGCATTAGAGTAGTCCGAAAAAAAAAAAGAAACGCGTTGCGCTGACAGTTGGTGCACATTTGTATTGCGCAAATGACGTGTGTTACTACAACGTAAACCGTTGTATGTGTGGTTACCTCAGTCTCACCAATTTCAGCCGCCAAGCAACTCGATGTATTTTCTTTGTAGGGTGCATATTAGGCAGTGAAATTACAGGATAAGAGGAATTCATGGCACGACGGCCTCGGTGGTCTAACGGTTTAGCACACCGACTTACTTCTGATGGTATTGATGAGTATGGTTGTTTGTATCAGTCCGGGTGTTTTCTGTATGTATGTATTTACAATAAAAATCTATCAATGTATTCATATATAGATTTTGTCTAGTATCCATAATACACGGTCTGCTTAAATTGGAGCTAGATGGCGCTGTGTGACTTGTCCTGAGATATTGTTATTAATATTATAATCCTAGTCCTTTGGAAAGGTAATGCATAAGTGGTATACAGGTGCTACAAGATAATGTGATGTTTGTAGTATATAGGCGACGTTTACAATTTACCATCAGGTGGGAGTTGGGTTGGCCATTTCAAATACACAAAAAAAAGTTGGTGTACCTTCTCTAAAAATGCTTGAGTGAAATATCTACAATTGGCAGATGAGTTAAGGGTTCACCACTTTGCCTTTCGGTGGTCATGGGTTCGATTCCTCGCACGATACAAACATTTATATCCATGAATATGATTATTTGTATTAGTTTTGCTTGTATTTGCAAATCCCATGCATGCCAATCATCATACATATGAATACAACTGTGTGGGAGGAGTCGAACCCGCGGCCATCTGAATTAAAGAGTCATGCTAAACCGGTAGAGCATTGAGGCCGTCCAATAATACTATTACTTCTATCCCATTTTTAGACTGAAATTAGTTATCGACGCAATGAAACAAAGAAAAGAAATAGAACAACAAATAGAGATATGTGAAAAGAAAAAACTGTGGATAGAGTATCAGGACTTGAGGGAGAAAGTCGTGGAGTGTACGAATGATAAAAAGGAAGCTGTGAAGTTGTACAATAGCCATAAAACTAAAATGGAGCCACTGGAAAAGGTAATAGAAAAGGCTAAAAGCGACATCAGCAGTCTTGAGCAACAAAAATTAAGAACTGTGAGTACTTAACAATCTCTTTACTGTACAGCTATCATAGACTATATTCAAATTAAAAAATAATTTATTCATGTAGGACATTTTAGCCGCTTATGAACGTAAAATTTTTATACTATAATTTTTCCCTATCATTCAGTTCAATATACAGATTCAATTGAGAAGAAAATCAATGAAAGTTCTTTTTTTTTTTTTTTAAATAGCCAGTTTCTTCATAATGTTTACTTATTTAGGTGTCTATGTCTGACATGAAATGAAAATCCCGTGCATGAACAACTATTGCCATGCTCGCTCGTCATTCAAGTAATTGTTTAGTGAGTAGCCTATTACTCACTAAACAATTACTCAGTACAGATGTTTTAAATTTATTTATTAATGTAAGATATACTAATATCCTTTGGTATCTGAACGTGGAGAGTCTGCCCGAGATTATATTTTTATGCTTGCCACAATTTAATTTAATTTTGTTTTATTTTTCTCTATCATGTAAGAATAGAATAGAATAGAAAATCATTTATTCAAATAAACTTACATTGAAGCACTTTTGAATATCATCGGTTTTTCGGAAAACTGTCTCATCACAAGAAGAATATGCTTAGAATTTAGATTTGTTTTCCTGGCTTATCTAATTCAAATTAAAAATCATTTATTCATGTAGGATATAGCCGCTTATGAACGTCAAGTTTTTACATTATATTTTTTTCCCTACCGTCTAATTATCTATTACTTTAGGGGATATTGTACTGTCACATATATAGATATTAGGTTAGACTTGTCATAGGTCTGTAATAGACCTAAATCTAAATATATATAATTCTAAGGTGACTGACATAGTGATCTATCAATGCACAGCCCAAACCACTGGACGGATCGGGCTGAAATTTGGCATGCAGGTAGATGTATATACGTCATAACGTAACATCCGCTATGGAAGAATTTCGATTAATTCTACCCGCAAGGGGATAAAATAGGGGATGAAATTTTGTATGAAATTTTGTTAATTTTAAACCGATCGGGCTGAGACTTTGCATGCATACAGTTACTATAACTTAGGCATCCCCTAAGAAAGGATTTTGATAAATTCCACCCCTAAGGGGATGTAAGTTTGTATAAATCTTCTTGGATTTCCGACTGATTGAACTGAAATTAAAGATTGGAGCTAATTCAACCCCCATAGAGATAAAATAAGGGATGATGGAGGATGTAAATGTATTAGTTTGAACCTATCAGTACCTAATGTAACGAATAAATTAAGACGAACAAAATAACTTTTAGTTCTTTAGGCTAATTTTATTTTAGAAAAATATAGTTAAATTCCACGCGGACGAAGTCGCGGGAACAGCTAGTAAAGATATATTTTAAATAGAATTGACATGTATATTTCAGAGTCGTGAAGTCGATACTCTAAAGGATAGAGTGAAAGAGGCTATGAATGCTGTTCATACCCATGAGTACACCATAAAAGATATAGAAGCATCGTACCAAGAGAAACTGGAGAGATACAAGAATAGAGAACGAGAGCTAGAAGAAGCTAGAGTGAAGTTGGATAAGCTAATGACGGATAAAACAAGGCTGGAAGAAAAAGTTGGTGACGGTGAGAATATGATATTAATCTATATTTTAATTAAAAACAAAGTAGTTTTTTTGACGGCCCGCTGATCTAGCGCTTTAGCACACCGCTTTACTTTCGATGGTCGCGGGGTCGAATCCTCGTACAAACATTTGTATTCATGAGTATGATCTGTATATGACTATCGGTATACTGAGTATCGGTCTGGCTATTTTCTATGCATAATATAATGTATGTATTTACAAAAAAAAGGTATCTAAGTATTTTTTTTATGGATGATAATGGAATGATGTACTCGCCTGCGCTAACAGTTTACGCTGGCACCAGTGAAGGATGTTAAAATTAATATGAAGTAGGGTCTTTTTTTTTGTGGATGATAATGGAATGGTGCATCCGCCTGCGCTAACGGTTTACGCTGGCGGGGCACCAGTGGAGGATGATAAGATGAGCATGAGGTCAGGTCAGTTAGCCCATCGTGACAAATTCACCAGGAATTTATCACGATGGTTTCCAGGGGGAACCGCGTGGAGGTCAACCTGACATGATACATTGCTAGCAATGGGGTTATCAATCCACATTACTAACAATCCCCTTCCCCCCTATGAAGTAAGGTCAGTTAGCCCATCTTGACAAATGGCAATTTACCACGCATTATACCATACCATGGCATTTAGTTTCCAAGGGGAACCACGTGGACTTGACATAGTACATTGCTATTAATGGGGTTAGTTCACATTGCTAACAATCCACTTCCGATGGTAGTGACTTTAGATGGGTATCTAAGTATTTATAAGAGTTGTCTAGTACCCATAAGAATGAGACAAATTCTACTTACCGTGGGACTAGATGGCGCTGTGTTAATTGTCCAGACTTATTTATTTATTGTTTTATAAGCTTGTTGTGTTAATTAATATATTGTTTATTGTGTTTTATTTCTTTTAGACAGCTCCGTGAGAATGGATTTAGCGGAATTGCACAAATCAATAACGAAAACCAACGCCGCGTTAGAAATACTCAAGAAACAGAAATTAGATGCGCAGTATGACCTTGAGAATAACGTGATACCACAAATACGGCTTTATCAGAACAAGTAAGTATTCATAGTGTTTTGAAATCTGACGGTTTGGGATATTGAAAATGGTATAGTTTTATTATTATATAGGTAAATAGAAAATATAACGAAAATGTATGGGTTTAATACACAGTGTAAATGAAATACAAAAGTAAAATATGTGTATGGTAAAACTAAAAGGGCTACAGCTAGATTTAGGAACATTACAACACGAAAATCACACTCTTTCTGAATGTAAAATTCTAGTTCTATTAACAACAGCTAGATATAAATTTAACAAAGTTCAAATAAAAAATACTAGAAATACGGCGGTTTTATAGAATAGAATAGAATAGAAAATCATTTATTCAAATAAACTTAATTTAAGCACTTTTGAATAGTCATAACAATTTGTTTTTTATCTACCACTCGTTCGGAAAGCTGTCTCATCACAAGAAGAACGAGCAAGAAACTTGTGTGTTGCCCTTTTAAATAATCCTTGTTAGTTTACATTTACAAGTCGAAACGTGTGAATACAAACTACCAACAAGCACTAATTTTTGGGTCAAATATAAATATGCAATAAGATTAAATCAGTCGTAGTGATAAGAGCAGACCAGTCCCTACAAGCAGCACTCGTTTCACGAGTATGACGGATGATTATGATTATATACAAATGACTAGCATACCCGGCCACGCGTTACTGTGGCTAACAGTTTATATAAAAATAATTTACAATAAAATAATATTGCAACTATAAATTGAGATGTAAGCTATGCTATCTTTCAAGTTGGATCAAATTGCACACAATGTGCAAATCAAATTTGTAATCGGTTCAGTAATTTAGGAGTCCATCGCGGACAAACAACGTGACACGATTTATATAAAAAGGTATAAAAAATCCATGTATTCCTATATTAAGGGAGAGTGTTAAAGTAGACAAATACTAGATATTTAAGAAAAATCATATAAAATAAAACATATATACCTATATTTATAAAATGAAAATTATTATTTAATATTTGCACAAGAATATCGCTCAAGTCACATTTTAAAATTAATAAATATGTATATATAATATCGATATATAATGTTTTTTTCTAGAAAACGCAACTTAGAAGATGTGAATGTGAAACGTCTAGAATTTCTTAATTCGTACAGCGAGGATTGTTACAAGGCCGTCCTGTGGCTTCGAAAGAATAAGGACATGTTCCAGGCACCTGTCTATGAACCCATGATGTTAGAAGTGAGTACTTAACCTTTTGAATTTCCTTCGTCAGTTGCAGCGATCGAGCGAAGAGGCGGTACGCGTGCGCCAGTTGTATTTTTTCAAATAAGAAAGAAAGAAATATATACAAATGCGTTTCAATCTTATTTTGTTTTGAATAAAGATAACATTGGTTAAAAAGAAGTCACGGTTTTGCGGGCACAGATTAGTGACAAGGTGGTAATACGGTTTAAGAGGGGTGCACCCACCCAGATCTGTGTCATAATAACGTACGAAGGGTTAATAATAATGAGATTAGATAAGATAGTACGTCGTTACGTAGTCGTCGTACGTAGATTAGGTAGTCATAGGCGTAGCCAGGTATGGGCTCACGGTGGGACAGCAGTCTAAAGTAGATTTCTGTGACTACAATGACAACACACACATATTTTTATTTAATTAATTAGCCGTGTCCGCGGTATCTTCGTGTTAAATTTCAATATAAATTATAGCCTATGTGTTATTCTGATGCATAAGCTATATTACTGTAAAGTTTCATCAAAATGCGTGAAAGAGTAACAAACATCCATACATACAAACTTTCGCATTTATAATATTAATTAATAAGATTAAGACAAGATTTGTACTTCAATATTGTAGATCTTGAAATAAACATATAAATAGTAAAGATTAAATACAATTATAATGATGATATAAAATTTATGTTCTGGAAGTTTTTTATTATCAGTTATTTTTGAGTACAAGATATAAGTTTCGATTTGATCATACCGGTTCGCCCTACATAGAGATCTATTGTGCTCGCCCTTTTTCAAAGTACGCTACCTAGATCCGTCAGGGACAATAATTGAAGGATATTCTTAGGAGCGATGGTTTTTCTCTCCTCGGGAAAGAGTGTAAACTTTCCAAAGGAGATATTTCGTTTATGCATGAGTGGCAACCACATAGAATGTGTAGTGGCGTTTCCTCTTCAGTTTGGCAGAATCTGCAGATTTTTGTCGTACATAGGTCTAGTTTAGCCATATGCTTGTTTAATTTGCAGTGTCCTGTGAGGGCCCTCGTCATCATGCATATGTTGTTTTTACTCAATAGTAGTAGTCTATTGGTGTATTTATTCGAGTAGCTCGATATTAGGGCTTTTGAATGTGTCAATCCTGGCATTTCTTGCCACATATAAGTATAAGAAGTTCATAGTCTGAGTGTTTCGTTTGCTACCGCTCTATAATTATTTTTGTTTTTTTTCAACAGATTAACTTCACAGATCCTAAATTCGCCCGTTACCTAGAGTCGACGGTGCCCGCCCGCGATTTAGTCGCATTCACGTTCGAATCCACGCAGGACATGAATTTGTTCCTACAAAAAGTTAGAACTGAGGGTAATTTGAAAAGAATCAACGCTATATGCAGCCAACCAGGGAAAATTAATACGCCCCCAAGAGATATACAGCAATTGAGGTTTGTATGAAAAAAATGAGGTATCAACCTTCTAAACAAGCATTGAAATGGACTTTAAACGTATAGTGTATAAGGTCTATTATTATCAAATGCCAAATTGTTACATTATAATTAAATACTTTCAGCTGAGTATGATATTATATTACAGCCAGCTGACAATTTTATTTATTCAGAATATTATAAACGCGAAAGTTTGTGAGTATGGATGGATGGATGTTTGTTACTCTCATGCAAAAACAACTGAACGGATTTTGATGAAACATTACAGTAATGTTGCTTATACATCAGAATAGCATGTAGGCTACAAAATTAATGCAGGTAAAACCGCGGGCCTAGCTATTAATTTATTTATCCGAAACAATATAAATTGTATAAAATAACATAATAGTAACTTAAACAGTAAACTTAGTTATGTCAGCTAGCTAGAAACTTTACAATAACATAGCATACACATCAGAATAATATATAGGCTGTTACGAGTATATACGACCTACTTATTAATTTGTTATTTAATATATTACGAGTAATAGTTTAGTTGTCAAAATACAAAATGTTTGATTGACATCAGTGTAAATATGTTATAAAAAGAGACAATACATATTCTGCTGTAAACGTATATATTATTTATTAGTAAACTCACCATCTCAACAAAAAAGAACCCCATCACAACATCTGGCGACCGTGACTTCGTACTAAAATGCTGAGACTAAAAAAATCAAGAACAAATTTACGCCGACTATTCACAAAGACTGGGAACCAATTATCAGAGTTATTACAGGGGCCATACCAAATACTGCGGATATAAAGGTGTGTCATTCACTATTTAAAAGTAAAGCAGACGAATTATTTAAAGTTGATAAAGATATTTACAATGAATGGGTGAATGACGACGAAACAAATGAAGATGAATTTTACGCAGATTGTGAAATCGATGAATTTTTGATTAAATGGAATATATATATCAAGAATTTATAGAACAGCAGAATAAATATACCTGCCTCTCCGTTACCAGTCGTATCACCTGAGAGACAGGATATAAGTCCAAGAACTTCAAATAGAGATAACAATGAACAGAGTGTGATCAATTATAAAAGTACGAGAATTTTAAAGAATTCACACGAAGTGAGTGTCAGTGCGAATAAATTACTTACTTACTAGAGACTCGATGAATAAAGAAAGAGACGAAAGAGTCAAGTTAGCCATGTCAGGGTTTATAGATTATATGAAAGAAGTAACTGAACCGACAATGGAATATATTTCATCGGGTAGGAGTAAGAAATACGAGGGAGATAAAAGGATAGAAAATTACGTAACGAAACATTCTTTGAAGTATGAAAAGATTACTTACGACTGTAAACAAAAGAAGGAAGAACAAAGACTAGCTACAATTTTGACATCCGATGATTATGAAGAAGTGGAAAATAAGTCAATAATCATTATACAAAGAGAATATTTTCAAGCAAATGACGAGTTTAAGAAATTGAAAAACAAGACTATTTTTACAGACGAAAAAAGTATGATAAGAATGAAAACTAAATTAATACTGAGCCAAAAGGAAAATAGAGATTTTAAATATTTAATAATATTACCATCGCATAGTGTAATTTTATTTCGTCTAGTTCAAGACAAGCATATCAGCTGGAAATTTAAGCCTGGGACTTCTACTTGGTGGAGGGGAGGTTGGGTGGAAAGATGGTACGCTTGGTGGGAAAGATGGGCGCTGGTGGGAAGTGATAGAGAGAGTAGGCAAAATTAAGACAAACTCTCAAAGTATTCAAGGCTCATTTACAGTAGGCTACCTGAAGAGCACTTCATGTCTGTGGGAGGATGTTACGAGTATATACGACCTACTTATTAATTTGTTATTTAATACATTACGAGTAATAGTTTAGTTGTCAAAATACAAAATGTTTGATTGACATTGTGTAAATATATTATAAAAAGAGACAATACATATTCTGCTGTAAACGTATATATTATTTATTAGTAAACTCACCATCTCAACAAAAAAGAACCCCATCACAACATAGGCTATAATTTAAAAATATATTATGTAAATTGGGAGATATATAATGATAAGTGTAATGCAGACGAAGTCGCACAGGTCAGCTAATTATTAAATAATTTTACAGATTGATATCTCGTACTATGTGTAACTATTGTGAAAATTAAGTCTTAAATAGTACCCAAAATATTTTTGGCCCCTAGTTTAACTGCAAAATGCAAAAAGTCAAACTCCAGTTCTTTCATTAATCCTTCTTCCTTAGTCTCTATTAGGCTGTTAGCACGCTGTTTTTACTTTCTGCACGATTACTTTAATTATAAATATTATAAATAAAAATAAAGTAATAATAATAGTAATGATGCTAATAATAATCTTTAATTCTGAATATCTAATATATATCTAATTGTTATAATTAATTAATATATGTAATTGTTAGGTTTATTAATAAAATTTGCCTGAACTGATAAAAGCCATATTATAGAGCAGCATACCAATGTCATTGTGGGTTAATTGTTATGTACATATCTGTGCGTAATGCGAATAAATTACTTACTTACTATCTGAGTTAAGTTTTTCATTTGAAATAGAAATAATCTTCATTCAAATAAACTTAATATAAGCACTTTTGAATAGTAGAGTTTTTTTATTCTACCGCTCATTAAATCACAAATGTTAATGATTTTCAGCTATCTCGGTTTCTACACGTACCTAATAGATACAATAACGGGACCGGACGCAATCATAAGGTACCTTTGCAAGCAGTACTCGATACATCGGATACCAATTGGCAATGATCACACATACAATAACAGTGGTAGCGTTCCAAACGACATCACCTACTTTTATACTGGTTTGTATTATTTTATTTAGAGTATATGGCCTTATCCGTCTTTACCTGGGACTTCAAGGGGAGGGGGGGTCTCTAGGGGGTTAGTCTTGGGGGGTAGGGGGCGCCGAGTGCTAGAAATCAGGTTGTATTAACCTTTAAACTTAAATGATGTGAACGTTATTGAACCGTTAAGTAAAATTTGTGACTCCAAATCCATCAAAAATATAAAAAAGAAATTTTCGGCACCCGTAAGGCCAATTTGTTTAGTACCCTGAATTACGTGACCGAGGCTGTGATTTCAAATGGCTGGACGACAACAAAAAAACTTTGTATGATTTTATATTTCTGACTGACTTTCTAGAGAAGGATGACCTAGTGGATGGCTAATCTGAGCTGACCTACAAGAGGTTGTGAGATCAAATCTGGCGATAACAAAAAACTTTGTGTCATTTTATATTTCTGGCTGACTTTTTAGAGAAGGATGACCTAGTGGATTGTTACCCTGAGCTACCTACAAGAGGTTGTGAGATCGAATCTGGCGATAACAAAAAACTTTGTGTGTCATTTTATATTTCTAACTGACTCTTATGAAAAAAACAACGGTATTAACATTACAACTAGTTAGTGAAATAAGTTAAAAACATAATTCTTTGTCTACAGAGAACCACAGGTTTACGGTCCGTGTCTCTGCCTACAGCGGTGCTAAGTCGAGTTCAACCATAGAGATCCGTCCGGCCAGGCTTTTGGCTAACACTGTCGATGTAGACAAGCGTGACAATTACACTGCTCAGTAAGTATATATAATAATAATAATAATTATTGTAAACGCGGAAGTTGATGGATGGAACAATATTTGTTAGTATTTCACGAAAATACTACTGAACGGATTTAGATGATACTTTTCAGCAATATAGCTTATACATCAAAATAACACATATAATTTAAAATAATATGTAAATTTGGTGAAATATAATGATAAATGTCAGGTATGATGCATACGAAGATGTGCGAGTCAACTAGTATATAAAAAAATATTTTCCATTATTATCAATTAAAAAAATTGTAATAAATAGTATGAATGCAATTAATTTATGAATATTTATTTGGTATCATGATTACGCAAAATACGACTCTTTGCTGTTTGACAATAGACACTGGAATTATTCACTTCAGTCTTCAGTTTCGCAATCATTTTCGCTCTCCTCATATTCCTTGATTATCTATAAGGAACATTATCTTTTACATGTACATATAAATAACAAAATCTTAAGCATTGTTCCTGTAGCGGTTTAAGTATGAATCCGTTGAAAGTGGAAATATTTTTTTATTTATTTAACTTTAATGCACACAGTATACATTTTATATACTAGTTGACCAACTAGTATATAAGAAATATTTGCCATTATTATCAATTAAAAAAATTGTAATAAATAGTATGAATGCAATTAATTTATGAATATTTATTTGATATCATGATTACGCAAAATACGACTATTTGCTGTGTGACAAAAGACTTATAGCATCTTTTTTGCTATACAGGATAGAAAATTTTGAAAAGACAGCACAAGCGCATAAGAACAAAATCAAGGTTCTGGACACCAAATTGGGAACTCTAGAGGGGAATCTAAATGAGTTGAATACCAGAAGAAAGACCATAAATGAAGGTATTGAAAAAGTAAGTTAAGTCAATTGCATCACTTAGATTCAAGAATGAACTAATTGCCGAGGTTGAATAAGATTAGGGTAGTTAATAAATTAAACTACAGGAATAAGTCCACTAGTTTATTAGTAAAAGTAAAAACTAATTTATTTACATTTAGTGCTTATATATGTGTCTATGTTTAACATTAAGTCCTCGAAATGTTCTCAGTTCCCTATATATAAGTTATTTTTTCGGACTACTCTAATGCAGTTGGCCGCAGCTGGCCTTTACAGCTTCACCGGACGATAGAGGTGAGTGCAGATGGCACTCCAAATCAAAGGAAGGATTTATGGAGCGACTGAAGGCCATCTCCCGCCAGACTTATACGACTTCAGCCTGAGGGCACCCAATGGTTCGGACCTCCGCTCTGGCCGTCTTAATTTGGACCCCCGATTGAATTGGACGGGGAATAGATTGGAGGGGCAAAATGTTTATGCCTATTAGTGAGGACTTCTTAACATCGACACCTAGAAAAATGAATAAACTTCAACTAATACCATCTAGAACTACAGTTGTAAAACAAAAAATAAATAGTCTCACATTTTATAGTATAAGATTACCTCTAGAGACTATATTTTCAAGAAAGGAATATTGCCCGTTGCCGATATTTAAGCTTTCTTAAAGGTCGGCAACGCGCACGTGACACCCTCGGTGTTTCAGGCGTCCATAGGTTACGGTAAATGTTTACCATCCAGATAGGTCGTGTGCTTGTTTGCTACCATCTTAGTATAAAAAAAATTATATATCTTTAGAAAGGCCATTGTTTTCTTTGTTGTTTCAATATGTAAAAGAATATATTTTAACAGGTGAAAGCGATTTCCTCCCAAATCCGATTGCAAACAAACAAAATCAGGGACATAGAGAACGAGCCATTCTTTAACATACAACAAGAGAGGGACAGATGTAAAAAGAAACAAAGAAACTGTGTGATAAAGCAATGCAAACTGCACGAAGAGATCTGCAATGACCTGAAGAACTTGGAAACCAAAGTTCTCAACGGGCAGATGTGGAAGGTAAGTCAACTAATATTATAAACTAGCAGACCCGGTCACGCGTTGCTGTGGCTAAGGTTCTTGAATAAAATAATATTATATAGCGACTATAAATTGTGATGTAAGAGAGATGGATAGACTGTGTGAAAGATGATATGGTAAGAAAGGAAGTAAATAACGCGATGACTGCGAACAGGGATGAATGGAAGAGAAAAACATATTACGCCGACTCCAAATAAATGGGATAAGGAAGAAGCAGATGATGATGATGATGATGATAAATTGTGATGTAAGCTTATCTTTCAAGTTGGGTGAAATTGCACACAATGTGCAAATCAAATGCAGGTTCAGTGGTATAGGAGTCGCATCGCGGATAAACAACGTGACACCTAATTTTTATATATAAAGATTAGCTCGCCATCTAATATCATGACAGTATTGTTAGGAATATGCTCTAAATTTAATTAAATAAAAGAAATTTATAACAAATCGTATAATTAATTTTAACAAAAATCAGTACAAGAATTTATAAAGCAAACACGGTATGATACGGAGATTCGTTCGAGAGCACGTCTGTCGACCAAAAGAGGCCGCACACCGGGCTTCGCAGCCTTTTATCGACGGTGTTACACCTAACAGTATAATATTTATATAGTTTAGTAATTAAACTTGGGACTAGATGGCGCTGATCTTATTTGTAAGTTGAAGTGGCAGTGGGCTGGTCATATCTGTCGCTGAACCGATGCTCGCTGGAGTAGGCGTGTTCTAGAGTGGAGAATTAGCGTAGAGTAGGACGCCCCGCAGCTAGGTGGAGTGACGACATACGTAGATTTGCGGGTAATAACTGGAAGAGAAGGGCTGAAGGTCGTGCCCAGTGGTGTGCCTTGAGAGAGGCCTATGTCCAGCAATGGACTGTAGTGGTCTGATGACGATGAGATGGCGCTGTATGTCTTATCCAGAATTATTTATGTATTCTTATTTTCATAGGTGAAACTAGATTTCAAAAGAAATGCAATAGTGCAACAAGAATCCGAACTTCGCGAATTGAAGAACGAATTACGCAATGTGCAAGCTACCCTTGAAAATATAGAGAATACACTCGCTCGAGCCAAATCGACAGCTAAAGAAAAATTGGTAGAAGCGAAGCGAAGTTGTGCCAACAAGTTGCCCCACGAAGCCGACTTTCCATATAAGAAGGAGTTTGACAAATTGCCATCCGATTTGAATAGTCTGCAGGAGCATTGTTATGAAATGCAGACTAGGATGGATTGTATGGACAAAGGTGATGAACAGGTAAGTCTATCCTTATAATATGACGGCCTTGGTGGTGTAGAGGTTTGTATACCACCTTACTTCCGGTGGTCGCGAGTTAGTTTCCTCGAATGGTACAAATATATTCATGAGTATGATTGTATCGGTCTGGGTGTTTTCTATCTAAATATATATACCTCAAAGGTGACTGACATAGTGACCTATCAACGCACAGTCCAAACCACTGGACGGATCAGGCAGAAATTTGGCATGCAGGTAGATGTTATGACGTAGGCATCCGCTATGAAAGGATTTTGATTAATTCTACCTCCAAGTGGATGAAAGTTTGTATGAAACTTTGTCAATTTTAAACCGATCGGGCTGAGACTTTGCATGCATAAAACTACTATGACGTAGGCATCCCCTAAGAAAGGATTTTGATAAACTCCACCCCTAAGGGGATAAATTAACGCGAGCGAAGCCGCGGGCAAAAGCTAGTATATAATATGTATGAATTTAAAAAATAAATGTACCTATGTACGTACTTGTATCAGTTGTCTAGTACCCATAACACAAGTATAATATGACGGTTTGGTATATCGCCTTACTTCCGATGATCGCGGGTTCGATTTCTCGCACGGTACAAACAATCATGAGTATGATCGTCTGTGTCGGTCTTGGTGGTATCCGTGTATATTCTGTACTTACAAAAAATGTATACACGTATTTGTATCGATAGTGTAGTACCTATAACACAAGCTCTGCTTAGCTTGGGGCTAGATGGCGTGAATTGTGGTGAGATATTATACTATTATTATTATAATAATTTCAATGCGTCATTCCTTCATTCTTTATGATTTCATTGCGATATTTCCACTTTCAACGGATTCATACTTAAACCGCTACAGGAACAATGCTTAAGAAATTTTGTTATTTATATGTACATGTAAAAGATAATGTTCCTTACAGATAATCAAGGAATATGAGGAGAGAGAAAAAATGATTGCGAAACTGAAGACTGAAGTGAATAATTCCAGTGATATGAATAAACAGTTAGTCGGCAAGATGAAAAAAATCAGGTACGTACATACAATGTCAAAAATGGTTCAGACCAATTGTAAGAAGCACTAATTAATGATGACGACTTAAGCTTTGAAGCCGGCTTCCGGAAGGGAAAACCCAAATAGCGCCCGTGACTTGTGACACGGGTGTAGGTTTAAAAGGCCCATTAACACTTACCTTTACTACTTGCAGCTTTCCCCCAGGCCCAACTAAGACCGGGATAAACCCATTCCTAATACAATTTTTAGTATCCAAAACACAACCGGCACGCTCTACTCTCGTCGACTGAATGCCGCGGCTCACCCAACGAAAGAGGATTATTCAACTACCGACCTCCGTATTTATAGACCGAAGTTAGTGTAGTAGGTCGGTCTATAAATACTAGATGGCGCTATTTACAATATTTGTAATAATCTTTATATTGGGTACTTCATTAGTACTAAACACAAACTACCTTCTTTTAATATCTTTTTAAAATATCGGATTTTTTCTACAATATTGATGTGAACTCTTAACACAATACAAGAAATCACTTCGGTTCGATAGTTTTTTTTTTAATCCATACCTCTAATATATAAAATTCTCGTGTCACAGTTTTCGTGTTTATACTCCTCCGAAACGGCTTGACCGATTTTGTTGAAATTTTATATGTATATTTAATAGGACTGAGAATATGTTTATTACTAATCTTTATGTAGTTCTCTTCTTATCTTTATGTAATCTACAAGTGTTAAGGGTGGCTCACCCTAAAAATTTTTTTCAGTTTTGCTACATTTTTTTTTAATATGGCATTCAAAATGTGTACATACAACCCAAAATTTTCACCTTTTATCACCAACCCCTATTTTTTAATAGCGATTTTAATTTATATAGCAAAACAACGTTTGCCCGGTGAGCTAGTAATATATATAGAAGCACGCACATGTTTTTATTTTGTCTACAGTTCACAATGGTTGCCGCCTCTGCTGGTGTTACTTGGCGACATCAACCGCAGCTTCGGCAATATGTTCGCCAAGATGGGCTGCGCCGGAGAGATCAAACTTGACAAGGGAGGCGGTGATGTAAGTAACTATAAACTATATTGACTATTTTTTTTTGTAAGTACATACATATAGAAAACACCCAGACCACCGAGGACGTCGATTATACTTATGCGACATTCTAATACAAACAGGAGGACTACGATAAGTACGGCATCTCAGTCCTGGTGAGCTTCAGGCAGTCGGAACAACTCCAGCAGTTAACTCGCCACGCGCAGTCTGGTGGTGAACGGGCGCTCTCCACTGCACTATACCTGCTTGCTTTACAGCAACTTACCACCGTGCCATTCAGGTATCATTGAACTCTTGTGTAACTCGAATATTAAATCTGATGGTATTTTTTTTTAATGGATGATGTACCCGCCTGCTCTAACGGTTTACGCTGGCGGGGCACCAGTGGAGGATGATAAGATGAGCGTGAGGTCAATCGAGAGAGATGAGGTCGAGTATATCGATATAAATCGGAAATTAATATAATTTCCGATGTAGAAATCGTAAAAAACTGGCATCATAAATAATCTCAAATTTGTCTCTGAGATAAAAAAGCAGACTATAAAATTATCGTTTGTCATTTAGATGCGTCGACGAGATCAACCAAGGTATGGACCCCATAAATGAAAGGAAGATGTTCTCATTACTGGTTAAAGTGACGACCGAGTTTGATAACGCACAGTACTTCTTATTGACGCCCAAGGTGAGTGGTTTAGATTATACTCAGTGTTAGTAACGTCACGGATTCGATTCTTGGTATTTGCTGATAGTGGAGACCTGATATTGAATTATTTACATAGATTTCTGGTGGACATATTTCCTTAGCTGTCTTTGAAAAGGGGGTTTTAAGTTTGACGGTATTTATTCTTATGTTAGGTCGATGTATTCGCCCTTTTTGATGATTCTTTAAGTTTCTACATTTGTTGATTCATTAACACATTCATGTGAAACCAGAGTGTTATTAAAAAAATCTATAAAACAAAACCTAACAGTATATACATATATGTTTTAATTTATTTTTCAGTTGTTAACAAACTTGGAGTACAATGCCAAAATCATGGTACACACCATCATGAACGGTAAAGCAATAATGAATTACAGAAAGTGGAAATACAACAAGTTCATTGAAAACGCACCGAACTACAATATGTAGCAGTTTTTACGTATACCTACAATAACTCCCTTATGTATTTATAAAATAAAAACTTCAATTGTTTTGTCCCTATATTTGAAACTAGTTTACTAATCTGAAAGACAGTGACAAAACAATGTCGCAGTTAACATGGGTGTGTAGTTTTTTATGAATAAGGCTGCTGGTATACAGTCGGTCAGTTCCTCGAATGCTATTAACGTTCGGATCAGCGCATCTCCCAAGAGAGATACGGTAAGATATTTAAACTTTCAAGAAAATACTTACTTAATCTTGGTATTCATGGTCAACACTAATTTATCTTTAGATGTGCTGCAGATTCGTTTGTCTCCTATGCTATGAAAAGACGTAATGACCAAATGCACTAACAAAATCCATCAGAACGTTAGTCATATTCGGGCAACCTGACGACTAATCGACTAATCGCATCCTTAGACAGTAAGCATTAAAAACGTCTCAGAGCACAGAGTGATTTAGTATAAAAACATTATGACTTACATTCAGTTGAAATATTTTTTACGGTATTGATTAGTCTGAGCTCTGAGTGATTTAGAATAAATACATACATTGTGATTTACATTTGTTTGAAAGTTTTTTCACTGTTATTTGCACACATATATATCGGGATATTTACCGTGATTATATCTATGACACTAAACCAGTTTTCACTAATGTATTGTGGTATTTAGCGTATTATTCCAGTTCGTTTCTAAACAAGAGTTACACGGGTACGAATTTATTTAGGGTCAGTTAGTGTATAAAATACTTATAACTAGCTACCCTAAGTGTACATGAATTTTACATATAAACCTTCCTCTTGAATCACTATATCTATTGCTAAAACTGTATTAAAATCTCTTACGTAGTTTAAAAGATTTAAGCGAACAGACAACCGAAGCGACTTCATTTTATAATATGAAAAGATGTGTGCAATTATGTTTGTGAATTACTTTAGAAATCAACGAGCTGTGCTTATTGTAGTTTGTTCTGTAACTTTATAACTTGGTGATAATGTTTTATAATAATAATGTATATACTGTACATAGTAAAATAGAATGACTAGTTTTTTTACGTATGTTTATTTATTAATATATCCAGATGGTTAAGTGTGATTGAGGTATAAATATTTGTAAATGTACTAAATTATGACTAGGTTTCATTCTCGATTGGTTCTATTATTTGAGTGCTCTTGAAGCCCTTAAGGTGTCTATACATTTAATCGGACCTCAGATACTTATTGGTCGAACCGTGGTTGAAATTGGTCCGTAATGAGTTTTTATGTGTAGTACATGGTACGCATTTAGGTAGTGCTGAGAATGTACAAATGTTAGTATGTTATCTATCTGAAGAAAATAATTATGAGGGATTTATCACTTGTTATTAGTATTTCTAATAATATTTGAATAATTAATCTATATAATGAAAAAAATACTCAAGAGTTTTTCTACAAAAATCACAAGTTTTAAATGTTGTCTTGTAATGTAAATATATAAATTATGAATATAAACAAGTATAAATATACAAACAAGTTTAGTTGGCTAATGTTTGTGAATAACATACTATATGTATAAATATGTGTTTATTTATGAAGTTTATTGTCGGAAACTTTGCTAAGACAAAATTTGTACAGTTGTCTGTGTGGATACCTCATTCTCACCTATTTCAGCTGCCAAGCAGTCTGTGTTTTGGTTGAAAATTGAAATTATCTTCGTGGTTTACAATTTTTATAAACCCACCTACAATAATTATACTGTAAAGTTATTTAAATGTTTAAATAAGTTCTATTTAACAATTCATTGTATGGATGTTGTTATTTGTTTATTGTTAAGTTAGACCTTTACATTTACGAATCGCATTGACCTGGATCCAGTGTTGCCAGTCTTAAAATATTAAGAAAAGAAGAAATAAAAATATTGATAAAAATCTCGTGTATTAGCTCAATTTGGCTCTCTAACCTTGTATTTTGACCAATTTGTACAAGTTTTGTAAATTGTCCACGTTTTGAAGGCCAAAAATATCGAAGAATTTTTGTATACATTTTGCATCCCTGCAGTAATCTAAGTTTTAAAGATGATAATATCGTTTTTTCATCGTTTATTATTTGTATTATACATGTATAAAATATTAGATGTTAATTATATAATATAGGAAGTTTCTAGAAGCAATGCGTGGATATCCACGTAATTCAAATCCTTCACGCAAGGTCTACCTGGACCTGACATGGTTCATTACTAGCAATGGGTCCATTAATCCCCTTACTATCTGATGCAGGCCTTTGTAATGCGCATTATTAGTTTTTATATACTTTTTAAATTATTAACAATGTTACATTTAAACATCATTGTAAACTACCAGTTGATAGTTAAGTTTTTAACATTCTTTTATGAATAAATAAGAAATAATGCCAAATCACAATTTTTAAATTCTCTGTAATTATTGTTGTTATTTTATATGTATATATTAAACAATTATAATAATTAACTAATGAGCAGTTTTAGTCATTTGCAAGTTTAAATATAATTAATAGAATATAAGGTTTTACCTTGTAATATAGTTAGAAAATAATATTTTTTATGTAATTCATAATGTTTGTATAAAAAATGCTCGATAGATATCAATAAATAATAAGATAGCACTGTAATAAGTTAGATGGGAAATAACCAATCCTGGATACTCAGAGGTCCCAAACTAAGCAAACCTTTATACTAAAGAAACTATAGAATACTAAATAGCTGATAGATATAAATATATTGTCAGTTTTCTTTTTTATACTATGTAGGTGGGAAACAAGCATTCGCCTCATCAGATAGTATACGGTTACGGGGTGTCACGTGCAGGTTACCAACCCTTAAGATACCTTAACCTGTTAACCGGATTTCTTTTTTAATTACGCAGCATATAACGGGCACTGTCTCACACTAGGACGTGTCAGTACGTCAGTACAATATAATTTAATGTATATATTTTTGATATGAAATATTCCACCCGCTCCAGGTTCCAGGGCGCAGGAGAAATTTAAAAAATGTAGATATACATATGTCCTACACGTACACAAGTCTTATTATTATCTCTGATCAATGCGACGGGTGACTAATGGTAGAGAATGCCATCAGGCATTAAGTATAGATTTATGTGCAAAAGAATAAATAAATAAAAGTTTGACGTTTGACGTATTCATATGTCCCGCTCGGTTAACAGGTTAATATACATATCTTGAAAAACCACATGCGTGGGAGCCATTTTATGTAAATAATGCATTATGCGGAATGTATATTATAATTCATTCCTACCTAGCTTATTACAGTGCTTTTTAAACTCATAAATACAATTTATGTATTTTTTTTACAGTAAAAAACAAATTCCAATGTTTTTGTACAGAAAACAATAAATATTTTTTTTATATAAAATTGAATTTTATTATTTAATGCCAAGCTGGACTCCTTTTACGGTTAATAGTTAAATGTAAGCATTTAATAATATTTAAGACGCTTTAAAGTTACCAGAGGTAGACTCAACATTTATTTGCGTGTAAGCGCCTGTATCTAACTTATTAATTCATTCGAATACATTCATTCATTCATTCAATTCAGCCGAACAAGTGATCAGTGAAGGCACAAAATTCGTGTAAAAAAGTCTTGATATTAGAGACCCTTGGGGGGCAGGAGGTAAGGGGATTACCTGGGGGAATTTGTGACGTAATATTAACATTTTAATAGCAAGACACGAATTTTTAACTGTAATAATGTGACCAGCTGTGACGAGAGAATAAATAATTAATTTAGTAAGATAGTCTACGTACGCCAGAAATAGAGGTGTCACGTTATATAGCTATAACGTAATGATGATGACCGCGACTTCGTCCGCGTGTATATAGTGACTTTGACTAAATAAGGCAAAAAAAATTCAATAATCTAACCCAAAGAAAAAAGATTCATCGATCTAGCTTCAAAAATGACTATTTTGCATACAAACTTTCATCCCCTTAAGGGTAATATTTTTACAAATTTTGAATGTCATGTTTAATTATATTTAATCAACAGCCTAAAAAATAAGTTTCAAGCTTCTAGCTTTAAAAATGAAGATACGATATTTCCATACTTTCATCACCCCTTTCAACTCTTTTTTCGCATTAAAAACTAGCCCTATGTCCTTTCTGAGGGTCTAGACTATATGTGTACCAAATTTCATTTAAATCGGTTCAGTTTTGGCGTGAAAGCAAGACAGACAGACAGACTTAGTACTTCGAATTTATAATATTAGTAAGGAGTCGCGATAAACGCTCACTTATTTCTCAATCTCCTTTCCCTTTCCTTTCCACTGCTCTTCTAATTTTACGTCGCACTCTAAATCTCTCAAGGCGGATTTTATATCGAATCCAAAATCGTCGCTGAACTTCTTGTACGCGTCGTTTAAAAGTTCCTCGGCGCCGAGCTCGTGGAATTTTGAATTTTCATCGCGATATCTTGCCACCATGTTGCGTATCGCCCAGCACGCATTTTTCTGTAAAAAACAATGCATAATAGACTTAAACTCGTCGTCCAATGGTCGATATTCGAGCATAAATAATTTAAATTAAAATTTTGAACATTATTAAGGTTCTATTGTCAAAGTATATTTTATTTACTAATTTAATGTATTTTTTTTTTCATTTAATAACATATCATGATACAGTGTAATATCTCTGAGGATGATGTCCGGAAATCGATAAAGTGGCGGAGAAAAATAAGTCAAGCTTACCCCTCCACCATGTAGGATATATAGGTAGAAAGAGAGAGAGAGATGTAATGTATTTTTTGCAACATACTCATGAATACAAATATTTGTATAGAGCTAGGAATCGAAGTTGCGACCATCTGAAGTAAGGCGGTGTGCCAACCGCTAGACCACCGAGGACGTCAAAATCATTATTATGTAACAAAATTATAATCTACTGGCGCTACCTAGACATTATAGTAATATTCCTTAGTCTGTAGTAACATCTTATCTAAATATATATAACTCAAAGGTGGCTGACATAGTGATCTATCAACACACAGTCCAAACCACTGGACGGATCGAGCTGAAATTTGGCATGCAGGTAGATGTTATGACGTAGGCATCCACTAAGAAAGGATTTTGACTCATTCTACCCCCAAGGGGATAAAATAGGGAATGAAAGTTTGTATGAAACTTTGTCAATTTTAAACCGATCGGACTGAGACTGCATGCATAAAGCTACTATGACGTAGGCATCCCCTAAGAAAAGATTTTGATTTGAAATTAACCCGAGCGAAGCCGCGGGCAAAAGCTAATTAATATTATAAATACGAAAGTTTCTTAGTACGGATGGATATTTATTACTTATTCACGCAAAAAGTACTGAACGGATTTTTATTAAACTTTACAGTAATGTAGCTTATACATCAGAATAACACATACACACACACTATTAATATCAAGTGGGCGAAGCCGCGGCCACAGTTAGTGAACAATAAAGTAGTCAGTCCTGAATGTAATTATATTTCGTTGTAATAATAATCATAAGTGTTATAATAATAATAATAATAATAATAATCTCAAGACAATTCACACAGCGCCATCTAGACCCAAGTTAAGCTAGCTAAAGCTTGTGTTATGGGTACTAGATAACTGATACAAATACATAGATATTTTTTTTTCGTAAATACATACTTAATATACATAGAAAACACCCAGACCGACACAAACAATCATACTCATGAATACAAATGTTTGTGCCGTGCGAGGAATCGAACCCGCGACCATCGGACGTAAAGCGGTGTGTTAGACCGCTAGACCACCGAGGTCGTCAAATTAGTTATACATAACGTATATATTGGATTGGATGTAAGAAGATCAAATTGATATATTTACCTGCACAGTGGCGTCATCTGGATGCATCTTCATAGAGCTTATTATGGCCTCGGCAGCATCACACGAGAAGAATTGCTTGGCGTGGGAAGCTTCGCGCAATGTGAGCGTTGAAATACACTTCAATGCTTGCGATACCGTTTTAGGGTTGTGCTGAATACAATAAGAACATGAATGAATGTATGAATGACTAGTTTTTTTAATACACAAAATGGTCATGAATTGACAAGGCTAATGCAACCTTGTCGAAATGTCGAAAGAGGTAAATACCTGTGTTTACATAAAATTAATCGTGTTAAAATCCGTCTAACTGACGGCCTCGGTGCTCTAGTGGTTTAGCACGCCGCCTTACTTTCGATAGTCGCGGGTTCGATTCCTCGTACGGCACAAACACATTTGGATTTGTGAGTATGATTGTTTGTATCGGTCTGGCTGTTCACTATGTATATTATGTATGTATTACGAAAAAAAACCTATTTATTTTGATCAGTCATCTAGTACCCATAACACACGCTTTAGCTAGCTTAACTGGTGTCTAGGTGACGCTGTGTGAATTGTCCTGGGATTATAAAAATTCTATATTAATAATGAGGGACTGCTGAACATCTTCGTGCTCGCCTCCAGGCGCCAACCTACGCCCCCTTAGAGGGTCCGGAAACCCTTTTTATCAGTCGTCTAGTACCCATAACACAACCTCTGTTTAGCTTGGCACTAGATAGCACTGCTTGCTACTGTTGTCCTGGGTTAATTTTCTGCAAATATATTTGAACTACACGTAATGGGGGTCGGTCTACACTGCATTTGCCTGTGTGGGGATTGTCAATAGATATCCACTGGGGGGAGAGGGGATTGTTAGCAATGGGAACTAGTAACTCCCATTGCTAACAATGTACCATGTTAGGTCGACCTCAATGTGGTTCCCCCTGGAAACCATCGTGATGAATTCTTGGTGAATTTGTCACGATGGGCTAACTGATCTGACCTCATGCTCATCTTGTCATCTTCCACTGGTGCCCCGCCAGCGTAAACCGTTAGTGCAGGCGGGTGCACGATTCATTATCATCCATAAAAAAAAAATAGATATCCACTTACTATATATTTATTTAAAATAGAAATTATTAGAGGAGCTATGAACGCTTGCATCAATTTCCTTTTCACATCGTCGTTACCAGCGAGCGCTGCTATTCTGAAAATCAGAAAAAATATATTAACATATTAACAACAGTGGGAACAATTGAAATTCAAAAATTAACACATTTTTGTAATTTTTAGAATATTAGAATATTATTTTACTATTTCTGCTTAAATATACTTAAACTTTTACACAATTCAAGAGAAAACACGAAAGGGCATTTATTCTCAAAAACTCGATCTTGATCGATCGGAATTTTTTTAGTGGTAAATGATACAGGTTGAAGGTCGACCTTCGATGAAATGTTGGTCTCGATCGGTCCAGCCGTTTCAGAGGAGTATCGTTACAAATAGTGCAAATCTAATCTCTAAGATCATAGATAGATAGATACAATTTTTATTTACGTGGAAGGCATACACACTATGTGGGTCGAGGCTATCTGTGTACCAATTGTCATCTAAATCGGTTCAGTAATTTTGACGTGAAAGCGCGACAGACAGAAAGAGTTACTTTCGCATTTATAATATTATAAGTAGGAATCAATCAATCAATAACGAGGTCATTACTAGGTCTAATGACCTAGTTATATGTTTATATGTTGCTAACAACAAACGTGTCGGTATGGCAACAAATAATATATTTAATCAATATTAATTAATAGTTCTCCATAAGAATTGGATTAATACTTGTAATTTTACATCTTGAAACTGTCATCTATTTAACATACAGACAAATCAACTTAAAGATATTTTTGAACAAACAGAATCAATAACAGGATTAAACCAGTTTGCGTTAACCAAAACGTGCGTCAAAGTACTACCAGTCGCTTGTAAGTATCGTTAAAAAAGTCACGCCATTTTCGTTTTAATTGTATACATATATTATGTAGTTGAAGAAATTTACGATAAAAACAACAAAATAGATATCTTTACACAGTATAAAATAAAGCCGCTTCAGCTATCTGTTCGATTAGATCTTTTAAACTAAGCAGCGAATTGTAATGCAGTTTTTAATGATAATAATAATAATCTCAGAACAATTCACACAGCGCCATCTAGACCCAAGTTAAGCTAGTTAAAGCTTGTGATATGAGTATTAGATAACTGATACAAATGCATAGATATATTTTTTTTTCTTAAATACATACATATTATACATAGAAAACGCCCGATACAAAATAAAACAAACATACTCATGAATACAAAAGTTTGTGCCGTGCGAGGAATCCAACCCACGACCATTCGGAAGTAAAGCCAAGGCCGCCAAATTTAGCAATAGATAGAGTAATTGAGGAGGAAAGTTTATACGTGTAATACATGTACACCCGTGCAAAACCGGGGCGGGTAGCTAAATATATAAACTGTTCGTATATTTATTTATCTACTGAACTTACACTTACACACGATAAAATGCATTAAATTCTGTATTTGTATTTAATTATTCTATATTTCCTACAGTTCTCAAAGGATAATCAGAAAAAAATAATTGCCGACTGCCTTCAAGTATGACTACTGCCCCAAATGGAGATGACCTTTCATTTGGCAAAAACCATGGCCTAACAACAGTACTCAACTGGCATGAGCACAACCGACGAGTCTTAAAAGGCGACATAATTGGCATCACCGATGACAACACTTCTATCACCAAAAACTGTGTCGTGAAAGTGAATCAGACTTCATGCGAAGATTTTAGTGACAGTACCGATCAACTGAAGCAGAGAACTAGACATATTAACTACTGGAAATCAGAATTAGAAAGGGCCATACGAGACATCGATGCTGAAATTTCAGTACTCGAAGCACAAAGACAACAAGTCAAAAATGCTATGGACACTCTTACAATACCTGAGTATATAAAAGATGAATGCATAGATTTAAGGCGTAATAGAATGCAATCCGATTTAGTATACGATGAACCACAAGACGAACTATATACAGAGTCAGCGTTGATAGAAAACGTCAAAAAGCTGCACAGAGAAATATTAAGAGACATAGAAAATCAGATGAAAATGAATGTTGCTGCGAAAAGTGCTCTAGAAAGGGACTGGAGCAATAAATATTTGGCTTTTAAATATGAAAGCGAGAACGCTGATTTGGAAACGAAATCAATTAATGTTAAGGATTCTGCAGGAGCAACTCGACTATCGGAAGGACAATCTAATGTTCAGTCGTGGGAACAATTCACTATTAATGCATTGGAGCAATTCAAGGGCGCTATCGATAGATCTAAAGAGTTGAGAAGTAAGGTAGAAGCGATATTAATAAATAGTGCGAGAGATTTGAGATCACAAGATATTAAGGTAAACAAAGCATTGAGCGAACGTATAGCTCGAACTGAGCAAGTGAAAACTGAATTGGAGAATCAGCTACGCTTAACAATGAGTAAAATTGTCGAGACGGAGAATATTCTGGAGATGTTGCATGAAGAAATTATGAAGATATCGCAACGTATTCAAGTGGCTCAAACGAGGCTGAACACTAAAAATTGTAGGCCCAACGTCGAGAACTGTAGAGAAGGCTCGTTGATCGGTTTGATTGAAGAAGTAAGAGACTTAAATGACAGCATGAGCCTTCTTCAAAAGAGATCGTTGAAAACGGAGAAACTGAGAGCGGAGCTGATTCACGAGAGATCTATTTTGGAGAATGAGATAATAGTGAAGAAGAAGACACTACATATCGATAACGAGAGATGCCTATTTTTAAGATCTCATTTTCAATCAGCTGAGAAAATGTGTGGGTTTTAAGTGTAGTTATATAAAATGTTTTATTAATATACACTTATTGCATATATTTCTTTAATTCAAACACCATCTATTCCCAAACTGAACAGAGCTAGTGCCATAGGCATTAAATAACTTACATACATTTTTAAAGATATTTATTGTATAGACATACATAGTACATGGGAGAACACTCAGCTCAATACAAATACATAAACTCATGAATAACTGAATGTAATAAGATAAACAAATGTTTGTTTTGCATGGGATCGAACCAGCGACTATCGGAAATAAATCTCAAATATTAGACTGCCGCGGTCATTATCACTTGACACCCGTAATACCAATATGTTGCCATGCCAGAGAACTCATGACCTCTTTATTGTAATCAGAGAAGAAATACAACAAGAAAAACAGTTAATACGAATTTGAAAACATAAGGCGCTCTCAGCGCTACAAGCAATCTTTTACATCAAAGTAAAATATTTGTGTGCGAAGAATATTTTTTATTATTTTTAGCCTATGTATTATTCTGATGTATAAGCAAATCTATTGTAAAGTATCATTAAAATCCTTTCAATAGTTTTTTGCATGAAAAAGTACTAAACATCCATCCATACTCTATTATAAACTTTCGCATTTATATTATTAATAAGATATATTTTTAGACACCAGTTTTCTATTGTTTTCTACCTATTTGTCATTATTGAGTCAATATATCCCAATTATAACAATTATTTTTATATTAGACTTTAATATTACAAAATTAGAGTGTATTTTTCAATTTTTGTAATCTTTGATCCAATTCAACAACCAAGTGTCAAATATAGTTATTAAGCGATCGAGTGATGTGTGATGATGATGAGACATGTGATGTCTCTTATCCTGAAATTTCTCTACCTAATAAGAATACTACAACCGAAACAGCTTACATAGCAAGCTTGATGCCTAAAACAGGTGAGACTGAGGTAAATTTTTCATCAGATAACCAATTTTTTCATACCATCTCTAGCATGCTATAATACTAAATAGAAACTTACAGTGTACAAGCATGTTGTGCAATATCTTCTCTTTTATATTTCAGTAAAATTGTGAACAACAAAAGACTAATGCCATTGTCAGCTACAAGACTGCATAGCTCGTATCGTACGAGTAGTGAAGATATTGTTTTAAGAGCTTCAGCTATTGCCTCTTCTTTGTCGCCTTCCGGTATTGTGTTTTCTTCGTCATTCTGTTTATCCTGTGTTTTGTCGCCTTCGGGTATTGCGTTATCTTTGTCATTCTGTTTATCGTCTTCATTGACGTCTGAATTCTCTGAAATATGCATAATTTAAATAAAATAATAATTGATGGCTAAAATTGAGGGGCTAGGTGGTTTAGCGGGTGGTGATGGTTTAGTGGTTTCCAATTGTGGGTTTGATACCTCGCTCGGTAAACGGTATTCATGAGTATGATTGTTTGTATCGGTCCGACTACTTTCTATGTTTATTATGTATGTATTTACAAAAGCTTGGGACTAGACTAGACTAGGCACTGTGTGTTGTCCTGAGATATTAAAAAAATAAAAATCATTCATTGATAATTTAAGAGCCACGCTCTTGTCGGTGGAGCACTTGCGAATTTCCACGATCTTCCATCATGCTCTTTAAGTGTTGATACGACACGGCTCCCATTTTGTCTTTAATTTGCTCGATGTAGCTGTGCCTTGATCTTCCCCTCCCTTTCTTTCCTTCTATTTTTCTCTCAATAATAATTTTCATAAATTCATCATGCCGTATCAACATTCTAACATTTTTCGTCTATAGGAAATAGACAAGGAAAGTAATAATAATAATAACCGACAATTCGCACAGCGCTGTCTACTCCCAAGATAGGTTGAGTTTAGGTAGAAACGTTGAGTTATGGCTATTAAGACAATTGATACAAATACTAAATACATAGATTTTTGTTAACGCATACATACAAAGAATACACCCAACAAACATTGTGCGAGGAATAGAACCTGCCTTCATTGGAATTAATGCGGTGATCTAAACCATTAGATCACTAATGCCGTCAAATCACAAGGGTCGTCCAAATGACTTTTTTTTCGGACTACTCTAATGCTGTTGGCCGCAGCTAGCCTTTACAGCTTCACCGGACGATAGGGGGCGAGTGCAGATGACACTCCAAACCAAAGGAAGGACTTATGGTGCGGATGAGGGCCAATTCCACGCCTGACAGATACGACTTTAGTCAAGGGCACAGCTAGGGGATCGAACCTCGGGTCAGGGTGTCGTAATTGAATTGGACGGGAATCGATCTGAGGGGTGTCCAGAGGACTAAGATGTTATGCCTTTTGTAATTTCACCTTACCTTGCCTAATCTGCACCTTATAACCGAAACACAGTTTACAAAGCAAGCTGCTTGGTGGCTGAAATCAGTAAGACTGCGGCAGACGACTTTTTACTTCATATAACTCTGGTTAACTTAAAGACTTAAAAGAAAATTTTATAAAAACCAATTTTTTACCTTTCAATAAAATTACGAGGGGCAACAATGATGTAGTGGCAAGCACCTTCGCATGTTCATGCGCCTTTCCAAATTGAACTCTAACGTCATCGTCTACAGTGAATTTTCGGATAACCCGCATCGCTGCAACAGCCACCTGATATATTTTTTTAATGATAGTTAATAAAAAATCAAATTGGGCGTAATTTTGCGAAAGTCCATTTCACTACTTAATGGATTTATATTATTTTGTTTAATTCCGCTACAATTAGCATACTCTTGAATTTCTCCATCTATTGCTAACTGCATTAAAATCCGTTACGTCTAAGCGAACACACAAAAACATATACAGTAAAGGCTATATATGTACTATATAAAATTCTTGTGTTTCGTGTTTATACTCCTCCGAAACGGATTAACCGATTTTGGTGAAATTTTATGTGTATATTCAGTACATCTGAGAATAGGTTTGTAACTAATTTTTATACCCATAAGTGTTAAGGGGTGGCTCACACCAAAAAATAAATTTCCCATTTCTTTTTGACAATATTTTTTATTATGTGGCATTATATGGCAAAAAGACATACAACCCTAAATTTTCACCCCTCTACCCCCATTTTTTAATAGCAATTTTAATTTATATGGCAAAACAACGTTCCAGGGGTCAGCTAGTATATATGTAAGATTATGAATATAATTGAGTATCTAATATGATCTATTTTGTCAATAGCGCCATCTAATATTTATAGACCGAACCACGTTGTTTGTCATAAGATAACCATTATTCCGCTTCTCTCCCTACTACACTAACTTCGGTCTATAAATACGGAGGTCGGTAGTAGAATAATGCTTTTTGGTTGGGTGAGCCGCGGCATTCAGTCGACGAGCGCAGAGCGTGCCGGTTGTGGTTTGGATACTAAAGTGAAATGTATTATGAATGGGTTCATCCCGGTCTTAATTGGGCCTGGGGGGAAGCTGCAAGTAGTGAAGGCGAGTGTTAATGCATTCTAAAAGAGCTCTTTAAACCTACACCCGTGTCACAAATCACAGGCGCTGCTTGGGTTCTCCCTTGCGGTACCCGGCTTCAAAGCCTAAGTCATCATCTTTTACAAGTGCTCCTTACATATATATGGTGGTATTAGATTAGGCCAATGGTGAAAATTACATTTTAATTAATTTACATTATAAGTTTGAAGATTCACTTCTAAAAGATTATACCTCTATGTGTGTGTATCAAATACATGGCAATATGTGTAATGATTATTTTATTGATTTAATGTATTTGTTAAATACATTATATACATAATTTAAAAAATATATAAGCATTCACTCCTTAGTGAATGCTTATATATATTTTAAATTATGCATATCTATATAAAATATAAATGTATTTCATAATGTCATTTCATACTCCTCAGTTCCCACAATTTTTGTAAAAAGGTGTACAAACTTTTTGCTTTATGTATTAATATGATAATTAATATTACCTTAACATCTTTCCTGTACTGCAACAGAGTCTTCAAATTCTTTGAAATATTCTTTCCAAACAATCCTTGTCTATTCATTTCGTGTTTCGTACAACAATGATATGTCCACTTGAGCGTTGATATTAAAACTTCACTGGAATCTGTGTTATCTAACAAACTAAAGAACAGTTTTCATTACAAAAAATAAAAATAATCATTATTAAAATAAACTCGATCCAAGCACTTTTGAATAGTTATATTTTTTATTCTACCACTCATTCGGAATGCAGATTCATCACAAGAAAAATGAGCAAGAAACTTGTGTGTTACGATAATCAATATAGAAACTGCTAAGCACTCATTCTTAGTGCAATCAGACAATATTACCAGGGCTATTATATTCACATTATCCTTAACGATAATAATGGTTTGTAGATAAAATTTAAATTTATAATATTTTGTAGATAAACTTAATATATACATTATTTAAATTATTAACCGGGTCTTAACACGAATAATTTTAAAGGTATTATTATATTATATTTACCTCTCTCGACGTTTCGACTAGGTTGCACTAGCCGCGGTCACGAGCTGACTGGAGCAACAGCGATGTCGGTAGGTGACAGCAGTTTTTTCTACATCTACCGTCACAAGATTGTTTAACGAAAGATCGAGAGTTTAAGACCCGGTTAATAATTTAAATAATGTATATTAAACACGAAAGTTTAAAATTAACTTAATATACATATATTAATTTTAACTTAAAATTAATAAATTTTAAGTTTATCTTAAAACATTATTATTGTTAACGAACTCTTCAATTTTATACTATGCTTTATAATAAAGGAAATGTTTTATACGACTGCTAAATTTACCATTCTAGATAGCCCATCTAGCCTAGGTCGTCTCCGGGGCGGATCTATCTAAGGGCTTTTTGGGCTGCAGCCCAGGGCCCCGAGGATATAAAGGGCCCCCAGACTCCACTAAAACGATATATAGAATATAAAAAAATATATAGAATGTTAAAAAACCTATCATAAGGTTGGCAACCCTGAGGTCAATCAACCCATGCAAGTGCGCGTCTATCGAAAGGAACGGGGAATTTCTGATCGCTTGTTTTTGGTCGGTGTATTTTTTTAGTTGAGTAATATTATAGGTAGGCCCCAAGTAGATTCAGCCCAGAGCCCCACATATTCACGATCCGCTCATGGGTGGTCGAGCAGTTTAGCAAATCGCCTTAGTCGTACGATTCCTCATGCGATATAAACAATTATATTCATGACTATGACTGTATTGGTCTGGGTATTTTCAATGTGTTTACGAAAAAATAAGTAAGTTTAGTATTTCTGTTTGTAGTTTAGCATTCATTGTACAAGTTATGTTTAGTTTAGGACTAGATGGCACTGCGCAATTATAATGGGTTATTATTATTGGTTACAAACAAAAACTATGTGTCTGGACTCACAATTTGTCAGTTTCAGTATTTGTTCAGAAAATTCATTACCTTATAATTAAATCTATTCCTTTCGCTTCAAGCAAATCTGGTTGCATATTCATTAAAGAGGTGAGTGTATTCAGAACGCTGACAATAAATCTTCCATCTGCTTCACTCGCATTCTGTAGATATATTTTTTGTCTTGCTTCTAACAAGTCTATCAATATTGTATAGGCACCTTCTTTGCCAGCTCTTACTCTGTGAGCTATGTCTTTTTTGCATTCTGTCTGTAAAATATTAAATATTGGTTTTTCAATGATATTTGTAGGTGTAATTGCAGAAGACAGTGAAACTTACTATATATTTCTTATGACCTTTATAATTTGTACTTCACAAGTAAAGAATTTTAATTTGGTAATTCAATGTCGTTACACACTATCAGTTACCCCGTTTATCCATACATATAAATAAAATTGGAGTGTCTGTTTGTAATATTGAAATAACCGTTTTTTACTACTTGCATATGAATATTAATTAATATTTTTTTTATTTTTTGTCAGTCTGTCTGTTCCGACTAATCTATAAAATGGCTGGACCGATTTTGACAGAACTTTTGTGGCAGGTAGCTGATGTAATAAGGAGTAACTTAGGCTACTTTTATTTTAGAAAAATAAAGTTAAATTCCACGCGGACGATGTCGCGGGAACAGCCAGTAGGTAATAAAGATATAGTAAATAAAAGGCTTTTTTTATTATCTTGAATGACAAAAAATTGACTGCCTAACCTGATGGTATGTTGCAACCATCGCCCATAGACATGAACTGTAGGAATATGTTATCTTTTTCTTCTTTTTTGAAATAGTTTAATGCTGTTGGCGTGTTGTATGCAATTAAATAAATAAATCATTATTCAATTGCAAATTAATTAATTAATATAACTTTATGTATGAGACTTCCATATATAAAATAAATCTGTAATTAACTTAAATTGGCTATCAAATCAAAATATTTTTATTCATGTAGGTCTATTACAGACTCTTATGATATGTCAAATATACTATCCAGAGTGTTTCCGAGCTAAAACAAACTGACAAGAAACTCAGCTCTAAATATTTTCAAATGAGCTTGTACATGTCTACATTAAAATAAATACATTTTTACCTAATTCACACTAGGTTATTGAAAAAAATATATAGGTTTTTTGGTTTATTGTATGCCATAAAAAACTTTCAATTTCTGTGTTGGAGAGTGTTTGGAATAGTTTTATCAATTACCTTGAGTGCATCCAACTCTTGTAGAACTGCCTCATTATCATACTCAGTAGCACTGCACAGATTTCTTAGTTTATTCACAATTGTGGTCACTGCATGCTCTTCACCAGATCCCAGTGCTAGATCTTTGATTATGTTTGATAAGTCAACACCCTTAAAATGGAGATATTAAAATAATCTTACTAATATTATAAATGCGAAAGTGAGAATGGACAGATGTTTGTTACTCTTTCATGCAAAAATACTGAGCAGAATTTGATGAAACTTTACAGTAACATAGTTTATACATTATAATACATAGACTATAATTTAAGAAGATATTATGTAAATTCGGCTAACAGGGTTGAATGGAAGAGAAAAACATATTATGCCAATCACAAATAAATGGGATAAGGAAGAAACAGATGACAATTATTTAAATTGGGTGATATATAATGATAAGTGTGATGCAGACAAAGTTACGTGGGTCAGCTAGTAATATATTTTAGGACAATTCACAAAACGCCATCTAGTCCCAAGTTAAGCAGAATTTGTGTTATGGGTACTAGACAACTGATATAATTACATAGATACATTTTTTTAAATAAATAGGTACATACATATTATACATAGAAGACACTCAGACTGATACAAACAATCATACTCATGAATACAAATGTTTGCACCATGTGAGGAATCGAATCCGTGACCATCAGATAGTATAGTGGTCACTAGACCAGTGAGGCTAACTATTAATTGAATTGCACCATGACAGGTTGACCTCCATGAGATTCCACTTGGCACTACTATTAATTTCTGGTGAATTTGCCACAATGGTTTAACTGACCTGATATCATCCTTCACTGGTACCCCGTCAGTATAACCCATTGGTACCATTCTATTATCGTCATTAAAAAATCTATAATTATTAGAGAATACAATGATAATTTAATTTACTAACTATGAAATAATAAGAATATAGAGAAAAAAAAATTGTGATTCATCACATCGACTATCTGCCTACAATTAAGCACGTGGACATTTTAAAAACTAAAAATAATTAAAACATAAATAAGTTCATAACATCAGGCTAAGGAAAATTATTTTATCTACCTGAGCCTGGAATTGAGCAATAGCTTCTTTTACAGCCTCTTCAGGGGTCATATCGAATTCTTCGATATTCTCCTTAACCACGTCGTCGTAAGTCTCCTGAGTTATAACACGGACCATTTTTTCAATTATTTGCTATATTCTTGCTTACACAGACTGTGTAAATCTAATTTTATATTTAAATTTTTAAAAATACTAACATGCGGTATGCAATTTTGATTGAAACAAAATAAATTGTTTGAAATTGTTTATTTACTAAAATGACAATCAATGTCAATGTCAAATATATTTGAAATTTGACAATTCACAGCTGGTGAAATACAGATTATATTGATAAAACAAATAAAGGCAGTAGAGGTGTGTTTTGAAGCTCAAATTATGCACTAATAAAAAAAATCTGTATCTACATCTGTATAAATATAAAATTATCGTATTAAATATAGTTGATACAACAAATTATTATTAATTTCCTACAGAATCTTTTCGTAAGAGATAAATTAAATATCACCGAATATTGAAAATATCAGAAATTTTGAATTATTCAGTATTACGTTTTTTGTTTTGAACGTGTACAAGATTACAGTAAGAAACACAGATACAACAATAATCTATGAATCACAGACTCATTTCATTTTCATATATGACGCATCAATCTATACCTATCATTTTCGATTGTTCCAAATCTTTATTAAAAACAAGTTTTTGTGCGTAATTATAATTTATAATTGCGAATATATTTTTATTCGTATGCTGTAGGTAGTTCTCCGTATTGAAAATGAGTTTCCTTGGGAAAATATTCGGCGGGAAGAAGGAAGAAAAAGGTCCAACGACCCATGAAGCAATACAAAAATTACGTGAGACCGAAGAGTTGTTGGTAAAGAAACAGGAATTTCTGGAGAGGAAGATTGAAGTAGAGATACAGACAGCTAGAAAACATGGAACAAAGAATAAGAGGGGTATGTAACGTGCAATTTGTAGAACTTTATAAACAGTTAGATAAGCTAATAGATTTATTGTGTAGTTTGAAATGACCTTGTTAATAAATACAGATGAATTCATCGTTTAGAAGTACATATACGGTATCCCTATTTTAGAAATCGTATATCGATTGTTAAGGTGTAGTTTTATATGCATGGATAATCTGAATGAATTATTTGAATTTAGAATAATCTTTACATAATAAAGTTGCTTCCCCTGCCTCTTCGCTTAGATATTTTAAACTACGCAGCAGGTTTTAATGCAGATTTTAGCAGTACATAGAGTGATTCAAGAGGAAGGTTTACATGTATAATACATGTACACCAATGTGAAGCTGAGCGAGTAGCCAGTGATATTGAAAAGAAAAATTTTGTCATATTTCATATTATATGTCATATTTTTCACAACAATATAAGCAAATGAAATTTAATGTGGAAATAGATTATATTCTAAGCACACACAGGTAATAATTTTCCTAAAAAAAGCATATAAAGTTGCAGGCAACCAATAGAAGCATACAAGCGGGAGTGTCAGTCAGTCTGTCTGTTTGTTACATTTTCGTTACTAAATCTTAATGAAATTTGATGTGAAAATAGATATCCCGAGGCTAGTTACATAGTCTCTCTTCTATTGAGTATGTATGCAGACATGGTCCAATTATATCCATGGGGCCACATAACATGAAAAATAAATCATCATCTGCTTCTTCCTTTTTTTTATTATAGCTTTAAACTTCCACACAACACATATTTTTCTGACATACATATAACTATATGGTTTTATTTTTCTTGTTATGGGGCCCCCTCGGATAATTCTTTTACTATTTTTTATGTCATCGACCCACCTTTTTCTGCCGCCCTACTCTTCTTTTGCCAATCGGGCCCAGCCATTTTGTTATTACAATAGTCCATCTGCTTCTTTCATATCCCATTTATTTGAAGTCGTTGTAATCACTGTTTGCAAGTCATTTAATTTTTTACTCACTTCATTATTTACTTTTAATCATATCATCTGTTTGACCGTCCATCCATCTCTTTTTCGTAGTATCTTAACTGTCCTACTGAATTTGCCAGGATGGACTGACTTGTTGAGTTCATGCTCTGTTGCATTACTATACTCAACATCTGCCTTGCAATATAGTATTAGCGCAGATTGGTGTACCATTCCATTGTCATCCATTATTTATTACTGTATTATTTTTTTAATTATTAGTATATTTATTCCAGCGGCCATTGCTGCTCTTAAACGTAAGAAGCGCTACGAGAAACAGCTCACCCAAATTGATGGCACTCTCACACAAATAGAAGCACAGAGAGAAGCATTAGAAGGTGCCACTACAAATGCACAAGTCCTCAACACCATGAAGGATGCTGCCAATGCAATGAAATTAGCACATAAAGATATGTGAGTGGTTTCTTAACATTTTAACATATAATATACAACCATGACTGTTTTATTGGTTGGGGTTGTCAGAGCTATTGTTGACAATATATTGAATGAATTGAAATGGCATTTTTAGGTAGATATTTGAACATTCTACACTCACAATTATAATCAACTTAATATAAAATGAACTTGGGACTAGATGGCGTTGTGTGAATTGCCAGTGTTATTAGTTCTTAGCTGAACCCGCGACTTTATCCGCGTGGTATTTGTTATTCCTTCGATTGACATTTCTAATCTCCTTATTGTAATGAACTCAACCTACACGATTATTAAATAAAAGAAAAAGGTTAATTTTAAGTAAGTATCATATCATATCAGGAGAATAATATGTTTATCTCTTTCTTTCGTATAGTGATGTGGACAAGGTGCATGATATAATGGACGACATTGCGGAACAGCACGACATCTCGCGTGAAATCACCGACGCCATCAGTAACAACGTTGCCTTCTCCAACGACGTCGACGAGGACGAACTGGAGAAGGAACTTGAGGAGTTGGAACAGGTGTGTTCATATTTATACCAGAGGCGACGGCTTCGGTGGTCTAGCGGTTTAGCACGCAGTCTTACTTCGGATGGTCGAGAATTCGATTCCTCGTACGGCACATATGTTTGTCCTGAATATGATTGTTTGTATCAGTATGGGTGTCTATGGATGATACACCCGCCTGTGCTAATGGTTTACGCTGGTTGAGTACAAGTGGAGGATGATAAAATAAGCCGTATTGGCAAATAACAATTTACAATGATGATTTCCAAGAGGAACCGCTTAGAGGCCTTGGGTTGGCTTGGGTTCCCCCTGAAAACCATCTGGTCAATTTGTTACGATGGGCTAACTGACCTGACCTCATGTTCTTATTATCCCCCACTATTGCCCGGCCAGCATAAACCGTTAGCGCAGACAGGTAAAATGATTTCATTATCATCCTTAGAAAAAGTTCTCTTAATCGAGACCATTTGATTTGCCTCAATATTAATCAGGATCTTTTGTACTTACAGGAGGATCTGGACAAAGAGATGTTGGGTATCAATGTACCAACGGACAAGCTGCCCGATGTACCGACGTCGGAGCTTGTTCACGACAAACCCAAGCCCAGCAAGGCTAAGCAGACTGGTGAGTAATTCTTACTAACGGGAACTAACTATTTATACCTATTTACTTATTATCAAAATGACCAACGTATATATATCACTTATAATGATAAAGAGTATATTCACAATAACGAGATAAATCATAATATACTGAAATTACCTTAAATAAATTAAAAAGGATTATGATTATATCTTAAATGGTAAATGTTCATGGCAAAAGTAGTGCATGCACGGGATTTTCATTTAATGTTAGACATTTATAAAACTAAACATTATTAACAAACTGACTTCTTAAAATTTAAAAAAGCCTTGCTAGTGTTTCAATTAACTTTATAACTTTACTAGCTGTGCCCGCGACTTCGTCCCGTGAAATAGTGATTTTGGATAGCATTTTTAATTATTTAGGCTAATTATGAAAGCCTAGGAAAAATGTTTAATTGTTCTAGCTTAAAAAAGACGAATTTCCTTACAAACTTTCATCCCCTATTTTATTTTACGCCCTTAAGGCAAAAATTTTTACCATCCAACTTTGAATGTTAAATTTATTTATATTTAATCAACAGCCTAAAAGAAAGTTTCAAGTTTCTAGCTTAAAAATGACGATACTATCATACAATCTTTAATTTCCCCTTTCAATCTCTTACAATCCTTTTTCGCATTAAAAAGTAGCCTATGTCCTTTCTCAGGGTCTCCAGACCCTATCTGTGTTCCAAATTTCATTTAAATTGGTTCAGTAGTTTTGGCGGGAAAGTGCGACAGACAGCATTTTTGCATTTGTAATATTAGTAAGGATTAAGAATTGAAGTAAATGATATTTAATGTATGTAAATAGACTGTTGTGGACGGTAGGGAAAAAAATACTTAACTGACTGTCAGATTTTTCTATCAGTAACTTTACCTACGTTTTTATCTTTCTCTTGCAGAGGACGACGACGATTTCAAAATGCTGGAGTCCTGGGCTACATAGGTGCGATTTAAACTCGTTTATAAAGACATCTCTGCTTTTATACGATGTTATTTTTGACATCGGCAGAGCGTGTTGCGTTCACACACATGGCCTATCTGCATTACGATATTTTATCGCAACTTGCACATAGTTTTCCGCGGCAAAAATTATGTATTTTCTTAAAAAACTCAAAAAAAATCGCAGTGCGGGATACAGGATCAAAATTTCACCTGTCATTTCAACCAAATTCGTTAAATAATTAACGAATTTTGTTAATTAGTTAATATATGTTTTACTTAATTAACATATGTTGTTAATTAACGAATTTTGTTGAATTATATATCTTAATGTTGGTTTAACTTCATTTTGTAGTATGGCTTCCATTGTAAAGGTTGTAAATTTCGCCTTATTTTATTTTACTTTTACTGCACTTTAAATAAAAATATGTAAAATTATAATTATAATATTAATTAATAGGTGAATAAGTTACAAAACACAACAACATTCAAATTAAAAAGTCGGTTTTGACGCTAATGACGTCGCTAAGAAGTCGGTGTCAATAATGAGAAGTTACTCACCTATTTTTTTTTATACTCCGATGGTGTGCAAAGTAGTATACAGCCCACCTGTAAATGGTTATCGTAGCCTATGAACGCCTGAAACACCAGGGGTGTCACGTGCGTTTTGCCTTAATAAACCTTAATATACCTTTCTTGAAAAAGCTATAGATTAACAATGAAATAGATTTTATATATAATTTCTCTCACCTATTCCTCACGCAGTTTTTTAATATCGCTTGAAGGCAATTCTTTAAAATCATTGGCTAATATTTGTCCAATATATGCATATTGGACAAATATTAGCCAATGATTTATATATATAAATTATCCGGAAGAAATTATCGAAATGATGGTGGAAATCGTATTTTTTATTGTATATAATCTAGCAGTACCAGTATGGAAAGATAAGATGAATATGAGGTCAGGTCGGTTAGCCCATCGTGGCAAATTCACCAGGAATTTATCACGATGGTCTCCAGAGGGAATCTTGTGAAGTCAAACTGACATGGTACATTGCTAGCAATAGGGTTATTAATCCACATTACCAACAATACCCATCCCTACACCAGAATGTATTTTTTTTTTGATGATTATGGAATGGTGCACCCGCCTGCGCTAACGGATTACGCTGGCGGGGCACCAGTGGAGGATGATAAGATGAACATGAAATCAGGTCAGTTAGCCCATCGTAACAAATTCACTAAGAATTTATCACGGTTTCCAGGGGGAACCGCGTGGATGTCAACCTAACATTGTACATTGCTAGCAATAGGGTTATTAATCCACATTACTAACAATACCCATTCCCCCACCAGGATGTATTCACCATATTACAATCCAATGTATGATTCAGAAATATACAGATTTAAACAACGACTTTGCATTACTATTCAGAGTAAGAGGATTAGAAAATCCCCTATTTAATATTATAACCCTATTTTTCTAGAAATAGTTGCCGGATGTCATACAAATTGAGTTAGACTTAAGACTACCATTGTACTTGAGGTGTATTGTGTGAATGCAACATCGTATCAGTTTTGTGTGAAGGTTGCTCGGATAACTGTCTCTCAAGAAGAAAAAAAATTGCTCTTTTAAATAATTGTAACTTTACATTTTTAAGTTGAAACGTTAATACAATCTACCAACACTAATAAGTCAAAACATTAAATATACAATCCACTGGTCAAACTAAATAAGATTAAATCAGTCGTAGTGATTAGAGCAGTCCCTATAAGCTCTCGTTCATGACTGACGGATGAGCCAGTCACCACTACGCTCGATCGTATTTTAGGGGGCCCAATAACCCGAATAACAGTCATTTCAATATATTTGATTTATTAAAAAGTACTCTACTCACATCCCAAAGTCTATAATATGCATATATTCGACGGCCACAGTGGTCAAGCGGTTTAGCACACCGCTTTACTTCGGATGGTCGCGGGTTGTAAATATTGTTAACTTCGCACGGTGTAAACATATTCATGAGTATGATTGTTTGTATTGGTCTGGGTATTTTCTATATATATTATGTATGTAGTATTTATACCAGATGTCTAGTACGCAAGTAAGTAAGCAGAGCTTGCTTACCGTGGGACTAGATTGAGCTGTGTTAATTATCCAGTTATTTATTTATAGATTTTCACGAGTATAATTGTTTGTATTGATATTGTATTTATATTAAATAAATATCATGCAACCTTCGCACAAAATTGTATTGTATATATTCAACAATTAATATTAAATCGCATATATATACTATTAAGGTATTTATTGCATTAAGCACTAATATATTTTTAGTTAAAATATTGAAAGTGATATCGGTTCATTGGAGGTTGAATATATTGTAATCTTATAGTTAATTAAAAATACAGTTAATTATCAGGCTGCGATAAAAAGTAACAAGTAATGTCACGCCGCGTTCTCGAAACCTTATTCCATACTAATATTATAAATTAACGACCTCGGTGATCTAGAGGTTTCGCGCACCGTTTTACTTCCGATGGTCGCGGGTTCAATTCCTCGCACGGTATAACCATTTGTATTCATGATTATGATTGTATCGGTCTGGGTGTTTTCTATGTATTTACGAAAAAAATATTTATCTATGTATTTGTATCAGTTGTCTAGTATCTATTTAGAAACAATTGAAGTGTTTTTTATTGTGAATTTTTGCGGTTTAGAAAACTAAAGGTGACTGAATGCGATGCGGTGCGGTGCGGTGCGATGCGTTAAGATGCGGAGTGGAATTTCAATTATGCTTTTACCAATAGTAGAATAACGCACCGCATCGAATCGCATTCGATCGCGTGCGTTTAGTTAGTCCTATATTCTATTATCCTATACACGCAGCGTGGCATCTCCTGTTAATTAATTAGCTGTAGTTAAATATTTTTATACTCCTATTGTTTTTTCTCCCCTGTAAAAGTTATACTCTACTAGATTTTTGTTTTTAACATATTTTTAAGTTCAACATCTGAATTTATATAATTAAAATTAATTATAATTTGTATAGTTTCTGTCTGTAATAGTTTTGTTCTATATTTGTTTTATTTCTGTGCAGTGTGGCTCGCAATAATGTAGTAAAAATGATGGCATATGAAAATATAGTAAAATATATATTGCTTAGAATGTTTAGGCAGTAATCAAGTTTTAAAGAGATTGTGAGCAGACGAACATATACTTTAACGTCGAGGAATGAAGTGTCGATCAACTATAACAAGGATTATATTCTTCTTATATATGAACATGAAACGTTGCTTGTTAGTCTAGCGAAAACTCTAGAACGGATGGACTAATTTAAGTTTTGAAATATTGGTAGATTTCGAAGGAAGGTTTAAGTGGTGGTAAAATATTAATAATAGAAATTGCATGGAAAATAGTAAAAACAAATTTAGTTTCCCACACAAACTGTTCGTAGCTATCAAACCGTTCAGAATTTATTAACGTAATTGATCTTCAAAAAATCTTTGTCATATTATTTAGTTCCGAGGCGGAACAGACTTCCGGGGTCAGCGAGTAAACATGTGAAAAATTAATCATTGTTGAAAATATTATTGATATTTTATTTAATAAATTGTTTAAACATTTCTATTAGGTGTCTAGTACCCATAACACAAGATCTGCTTAACTTGACACTAAATAGCGCTGTTTGAATTGTCCAGGGTTATTATTATTGTTTTAATATAAGGAATATAAAAGCATATGAAGGAAATAGAATGAAAGTAAGGAAGAAAATTGATTTAACACATTTTTCGCACATGTGAGTTTCTAAGTACTTGGTAATTCATAATGTTTTTTTTTAAACTTCTTGTGTATCCGTGTTGTAGTTGATTGGCAGCTTAGAAACTAAGTAAGCAACGGTTTTTTTATGTAATTTAACGTCTAGTGCCTCTTTATAGGAATGCGTACATTTTTAAAGTTGTAAACACAGTTGTATAATATGGTAACAATAAAACATTTTATTTAAACTGTCTTTTATTGCTTTTTCTACAATACATAGTCCATTTTTCAACAGACTGCTATATATAAACTTCAACTCAAAGACGCGCGACACCTAACATAGCACATTTTATCACGCCGCATTACTTTCGATGGTCTCGGGTTCGATTCCTCCCACGATCCAAACATTTGTGATAACGAGTGTTTGTATTTGTATAAAAAGAAATACATTTGTCATTTCAAAAACTGCAGTGTATACCCTAAAAGCATTGCTTAGCTTGGAACTAGATGGCGCTGTGTGAATTGTACAAGATTATTATTATCTATGTTTTTTATTGTTACGTCCTCGAAATAATAATCATTATTATCGTCAGCCCACTGCTGGACATAGGCCTCTCCCAAGGCACGATACTGGGTCCGATCTTCAGTCCTTCTTTTCCAGTTACTACCCGCAACCCTACGCATGTAGTCACTCCACCTAGCTGCGGTGCGTCCTACTCTACGTTTGCTAATTCGCGGTCTCCACTCTAGAACACGCCTACTCCAGCGAGTATCAGTTCTGCGACAGATATGACCAGCCCTTCACACTTCAACTTGCAAATACGAAGAGCTATGTCGGTGACCTTAGTTCTCTGGCGTATTACTTCTTTCATCTATACGTCTATATATATATAAATAAAATTGGAATGTCTGTTTGTAATATTGAAATGATCGTTTTTTACTACATGCATAAATACGGTACATACACAAAAATAATATTTTTCACAATTTTTGTGTCTGTCTGTATGTGTGTTTGTTCCGGGTAACCTCTGAAATGGCTGGACCTATTTTGACGGGACTTTTTAATAGCAGGTTGCTGATGTAATAAGGAGTAGACTACATTTATTTTAGAAAAATAAAGTTAGTAAAATAATAACAAATTATTATTAGTATTGAAATAATAATAATAATTTGTTATTATTTTCACTGGGTATACTTATTAGAATTTGACGTGCCAGGAGGTGAGAGCCCCATATCTCGGATTGATTTATTTTCTTATCAGATTTTACCTCACTAAAGATAAAAAATTTAATAAAACCACCTAATGAAAAATTATAATCGTCCTATTATAATAAATAGCAAAAAATAATAAACAAATTAGCTATAAATGTAGTGAGGCCTTTCTTGGCAGCTATTTCATACGAGTGGAATATATATTGTTGCAAATTACCAATTGTGCCCACTTCAAGGTGGAATATAGTGGGTGAAGGTTATCTAAGGATTTTATCTTTCAACTATAATTTCCTTGTGTACTTTTTACATCATTTGGTATTCCAAACCTGATGGTCTGTGGACAATCGACTGTAGAAAAATAGTATTAACTATCTTTTGCCCGCAGCTTCGCTTGCGTTAATTTATCCCCTTTGGGGGTAGAATTAATCAAAATCCTTTCTTAGCGGATGCCTACGTCATAACATCTACCTGCATGCCAAATTTTAGCCCGATCCGTCCAGTGGTTTGGGCTGTGCGTTGATAGATCACTATGACAGTCACCTTTGAGTTATATATATTTAGATAGACTGCAAGAAGTTTATGCAAATAGAGAAAATTTCGTCAACTTATTTTGTAAACTGTTTTTCGGTTTGAAGAGAGCGAACCTAGGCGAGATAAGGTAGTGAAATTACGTGATAACTTAGATCTGAAGGAAACGTATGAATCCAAACAGATGCATTGCGGTCGTCGTATAGATGATAATGGAATGGTGCACCCACCTGCGCTAACGGTTTACGCTGGCGAGGCACCAATGGAGGACTTATCCTTATCTGATGCTTCACTACTCATATAATTTTTTTTTTTAATTTTGTTTTACTGACATTATTTCTTATTAACATATTGACTTCAGCTGCGATTTGATACAGCAGAAGTTTTCGTAGGGCTATTTGTGTTTCACTAGGTGTTTATTATATATTTATATAGATGATACACATATACATATTTACATTGTTTATATATGAAATAATTTATATTTATATATACATATATGTTATTTTTATATCTTTATATATAATAGATATATTTTATGTATTTACGAATTTATAGACTTATGTGTTATTTATCTTTTTTAAATTTATAGTTAGGACAGTAGCGTATCGTGACAAATTTTGCCGGAATTAAAACGATGGTTTCCATGGGGCATGTGGAGGCGTATTGTTATTATTATATTTCTAGCAATGGGATCCCTATTCTTCGTCGCTCCTGTGTTTATTCCCTCTTCCCAAGCCTTAACATGCCAAACATTGTTTACACTTGCATAATGGTTACAAAATGATTACATACTACCGTAAATCATCATGCCAACCCTTGATTGTCATTCAGAAGGCGTGCTTTGTATCTGTGAACAGAATATATCTAACGACAGTAAAATTACTTTCGCTTGCGGGTGTATTCTGGTAGAGAATTGTCGATAAACATAAATAGCATCATTACATAGTATAAAATAATGTCGTTGTCGCTGTCTGTCCCTATGTATGCTTAAATCTTTAAAACTACGCAACGGATTTTAATGCGGCTTTAAAAGATAGAGTGATTCGAGAAGAAGGTTTATATGTGTAATACATGTACACCCGGGCGAAGCTGGGGCGAGTAACTAGTTGTAGATAAAAGGAAAAATATTAATATTTTTTACTGAATGATAATGGAAATTGAATATACGTTTTATCGAAATTAATTTCGTTACATAATGTATTTGTATTGTTTGTTTAATTCCATTATCATTAGCATGTATGAGACCACAAGTATTCACTGCGGAAACCTAACCACCGCTACAGAAAGTATTATTAATGATCAAATTTTGACCGTTAATTGATTTGGTACATTATTAGCAATGGGGGCAACAGTCCACAATATTAACAAGACCTCTATGAATATTATACATACATTTATTAAAAAATGTTAACGCAGGCGGGTGTACAATTCCACTATAATCAATTATAATATAGAATCACCTGTAAGAAGCAGTAATTATGATAGACGACTGAGGCTTTGAAGCTGGCTACCGCAAGGGAAACCCCAAGTAGCGCCCGTGACTTGTGACACGTGTGTAGGTTTTAAGAGGCCCTTTTAGAATGCATTAACACTCACCTTCACTACTTGCATCTTCCCTCCAGGCCCAACTAGGACCGGAACAAACCCATATGTAATATAATTCACTTTAGTATCAAAAACACAACCGGCACGCTCTGTGCTCGTCGCCTGAATGCCGCGGTTCACCCAACGAAAGAGGATTATTCAACTACCGACCTCCGTATTTATAGACCGAAGTCAGTGTAGTAGGTCGGTCTATAAATACTAGATGGCGCTATTTGCAATATTTGTAATAATCTTTACATTGGGTACTTCATTAGTACTAAACACAAACTACCTTCTTTTGATATCTTTTTAAAATATCGGATTTTTTCTACAATATTGATGTGAACTCTAACACACCCAAACCGATATAAACAATCATACTCATGAATACAAATATTTGCGCAGTGCGAGGAAGCTACACGATAATACTATCGATGTCTCAGAATAAGTCCTCTCGTACGCTAATAATATTCTGCAATGAGTTCTTAAATTAGGCGGCCATCTTCCTTAGTGGTTCAGTCTAGCGACTAGTTAGTTAAGTGATCGACATGAAGTGCTTTGTATTGGTGAGTTAATGATTATTTATTTACTTTCGTAAATAAGTTTGCTATTGAAAACGGTTGCTATCGCCCAACGCATTTCTTATTTTCTTTTCTTTCTTTCTTAAGTGAACTTCTTCATGCTATATAGTAATTAATCTAGTTTGCAGTTCGGAGTCCGGAGTTTTCATCACCTGACAGGGTGAACAGTATACATTGAGACGCACAGTTTTTTTTTCTATCTCGCCGAATTTGATCTTAGATCATAGGCTCTAAATTATTTTGACTAACCCTCTAGCAATGAAAGCTCCGATAACATGCAAGTAATAAAATACTAAAATTTATGTAATGTAATTTATGAATAAGAACTTAGATCATAGATTCTAAGTTATTTTGACTAACCCTCTGGCCATGAAAACGCCGATAACAAGCAAGTAATACCATACTAAAATTTATGGATAATAAAAAAAACAAAAATTTCTGAAACTTCTAATTTATTCCAGATAACTCTCTTTATTTCGGCACATACAATATCAGCCACAATAGACTTAGGACAGCTAAAGGAAAATGCCGCATCGAAAATACAAACACTACAAGATCAAACAGCCGAGGCTCTTCAAAAAGTCACCGACAATATCGACTTTGGAAAACTGATACAAACAATAGTCCCAATAGTGGAACATCATCAGAGAATCTTCCAACAGTACCAGGATGCAGTGGAAAATATTCCAGCTGTCATACAATCCCAGGGGGAAAAATTGAGAGTGTATTATCAAAAATTACATGGTCTGAATGGGAAGGATTTGGTTCGTGCATTTGATTTTGGTGTGCCATGGCCGGCGTTGAGGTGATTTTTGGTTAGAAGACTAGTTTATCTCACTGGTTTCATATGTTATACTAACATATGAAACATAGTGAATTTGCACAGTAAGGAATCTCTTATTGGAGAGGTGCTCACTCTTGTACATTACATTTACCTTATTACTATTATGTTTTCCTATGTGTGTGTACAATAAAGAATAAAGAAAACAGACCAAACAGCCACGGCTCTTCAAAGAGTCACCGACAATATTGACTGATACAAACAATAGTCCCAATAGTGGAACGCCATCAGAGAATCTTCCAACAGTACCAGGATACCGTGGAAAATATTCCAGCTATACAATCCCAGGGGGGAAAGTTGAGAGTGTATTATCAAAAATTACATGGGCTGAATGGGAAAGATTTGGTTTGATTTGCGTACCATGGCTGGCGTTGAGGTGATTTTTGGTTGTAAGACTAGTTTATCTCACTGATCTTTTTAGGGATAAGCTCGCTCTTGTACCATTTACCTCATTACTGTTATTTTTTTTCTATTTGTTTGTATAGTGTTATTAATATTATAAACGTGAAAGTTTGTGAGTATGAATGTTTGTTACTCTTCCACGGAAAAACTACTGACGGATTTTGTTGAAACTTTATGTACAATAATATAGCTTATGCATCAGAATAACATATAGGCTATAGTTTTTATTGAAGTTTAACGCGGGCGAAATCGCGGGCTCAGCTATTAATATTTTAAACGTGAATGTTTGTGAGTATGGATGGATGTTTGTTACTCTTTCACGCATAATTTACTGACGGATTTTGTCGAAACTTTACAGTAATATAGCTTATACATCAGAATAACATATAGGCTATAAATTACATGCGGGTGAAACCGTATATTTAGTTGTGTTATATACCTTTAAATGTAAACAGACTGTATTCTTGCGATAGATTTTAGAATAATTATTTACTTTTATTGTAATTAAGGAATCTTAAATATTAAAATAATTTTGTTATTCACAATGCGTTTTATTTATAAATATGAGGAATTTCATAATGATAAGGTGCTTATATAAAAGTAACGATGTTTTCGTTGTCTGTGGGTAATATTAGTCCGCGAGCTAGATGCTTTTTTCGTCAATTATTTGCTCTCGACCAAAAACTTCTAATAGAGGAAAGTTGTATTATGAAGTTTAATGAGTCAGCCTGCATATATAGAGCAGCACCACGTGAAAAAAATCCATCATTTTCTCCCGGTCAAATTAATATGAAATTATAGTTAAACTTATGTATGGCTGTAGGCTCTTCAATATATGTGACTGTAGGCTGGTGTATTATTTTAAATTGGTCACTATCTGTTCCTGGTTCAGGGACTATTTCGGCTTTGGTTTTTTTAATGTATAGGGGACAGACGAATCTCACCTGATAGTAAGTGATTACCGCTGTCCATGAGCAACATCAGAGAATTCTCTGGTGTTGCTCACGGACAGCGGCAAGTACGTTGCCGGCCTTTTAAGAAGGAATAAGCTCTTTTCTTGAAGGTTTAAATATGGTATCGGTTCGGTAATACCATTGCTGGAAGGCGATTCGACAATGTGGTTCTGCGTGGCAAAAAGTTTCTAAAAAACCTCAAAGTGGAGGCCATTCATCCAGATGATCAGGATGGTATTTTAGTTTCTGGCAGGTTAGCTAAATAAAAATCCAGTTTACATTCAATAAAATATAATTTATATTACAACTTCATATTAAATTGTGTAAATATATTAAAATAATACTAACGTTATGTAGACTTTCAAAGTCGTCTGCGGGTACCTCAGTCTCACATATTTCTGTTACCAGCAACTTGCGTTGTAAACTTTTCTTCATTTTGAAGGGCTTATATTATTAACCATATCGAATGTGTGACGGAACAAAGCGAAATTGTCATATCTTAAAAACCTAGCTTTACACTAACAAAAAACTGTTTCAAAAGTTTTTAAGAACATATATTTATCGAGATATAAAATTTAAAATTATGTGTTTTCAATAAATGTCAAATAATATTTTTTTAAATAATGGAATCCTAAAGAATATTGAATTTTTAATAAAATAATCTTTTACTTCAAACGAAAAAAAGCTAGTTGGAGGCTGAAGTATGTGGAACTACCAAAGGTATCCACGCAGACGACTTTCTTCAAAGTCTACCTCTGGTATATCAATGAGCACTGACTTTGGAAGGTTAGACTGAGAACCACTGCTTGCAGTTAGTCCAGTTTGTAATTTTCTATACGTATAAAAAGCAATATTTGAATATAATTCATTCAATCATAATCTAGGTGTTCTAGCGGTTTAATACGCTTTCCGATGGTCGCGTTGATTCCTCACTCGATACAAAGATTTGTATTATTGGTTTGACCGTTTGTACATTTCGATCATGGTCGCGGGTTCGATTCCGGACGATGCTAACATTTGTCTTCATTAGTACGTTTATTTGTGTCGGTCCTATGTTTATTAAGTATGAATTAACAAAAAAATCTATCTATGTATCTTTTATCACTTGTCTAGTACCCATAACACAAGCTCTGCTTAACTTAGTACTAGATGGCGCTGCGTGAATTGTTCAGTTAGATTATTACTACTAATTTCCAATATTAAGATCATTTAATAACTTATCAAAAACATCATCATTGCTTTGCGTCGGCATCAAACCGTCTAACAGTCCATTTTGGAATTCACCAAAATCGTCCCTCATAGCTGTATCCGCTAGTCCTAATTCTGTCAAAAGTGACAGATTGTCAATTGCGTCAGATTTGACAGTTCTGTCAATACTGTCACACGTGTCAAACGCTGGCAGCAGTTGTTCAGCGGAGTCGGTGTCTTCTTTGTCTTTGTTTGACCGTCTATTCACTACTTTTGCTTCTCTCATTTCCGTTTCAGTGATATCGTGGTATTCTTGTATTTCTTTTGCGTATTCTATTTCTTCTTCATCATCTGGATTGTCCTGCTTGATGGCAATATATTTATAAATATTTACATCTTTATTGGTCTCAATTAATGGACTGGCAAAATTTCTGCTGATAATAAAACTAAGAGGTATTAAACGAGATAAAACAACAACAGATAGAGATACAACTCAGAGGGGGCATTACAGTTTTCTTATGTAAGTGATTTGTTAAATATCTTAAACCTTAATATATAACTGAGTAGAAATACCTGTAATATCTGCGCGGTGGATTTGTACTGGAATGCATTTTGTGATAAGTCCACTTCGACTGGGAAAAGTGTGGAGTTCTCCTTCAAGTGTTCTAGAGTTTCACTGCAAAAGATAATCATAGTACTTTGAGGTCGCCTTGGTTTAGTGGCTTACCGTACCTAAGGATACTATCACTTAATCTAAGAGGTTGTGATCAAATTTAGGCGACACCAAAATTTGAAATATTGCGTTCATTTATTATAATTATTTTAAAGAACATACCATAAATATTACGCTAAGAAATAATTCGAGAGCTGCTACGTTGGATTCAAATATATCCAACAAAATGTGGGTATGTCTAGTGCTCGGTCTATCACGACAAGAAAGGAATCCTTACCTACCATCCCCAGAAGGAATGTGTTACATATGAATGTTGATTATATACTGTTTTAAACTTGACGCGGTCATTATTTATACGTATAATTAGTAAAAATCACGGGATCTTACCACGTTTTATATTTCTTTCCTGAGTTCCCGATATTTCGACCACCATGATCACGGGTAAACTCGTGATCATGGTGGTTGAAACACTGCCGAATCAGCAAACTGAGCAAATAAATATAAAACGTGGTAAGATCCCGTGATTTTTACTAATTATACCTATGAATGTTGATTGTTATAAGGGCATTGTGAAGGATGATATGGTACGAAAGGGAGTAGATAACATTAATAGAACAGGGATCAATTGAAAAGACAAACATATTACGCCAACCTCCAATAAATGGGATAAGGAAGAAGCAGATGATGACTTAGCATGCCTTTATGATTTGTTTTTAGGCTCGCTTTTTAACATAGAATATTTCATAATATGTATCTTATTAATATTATAAACGCGAAAGTTTATGAGGATGGATGGATGTTTGTTACTCTTTCACGCAAAAATTACTGAACGAATTATGATGAAACTTTACAGTAATATAGCTTAAGCAGCAGAATAACATATAGAAATTTCACGCGGGTAAATCCGCAGGCACAGATAGGAATTATATGTATATAAGATGTACATTGTACATACTCGTGATACACGGCTAGTCCCTGTATGAATCTCCTGAGCTGGTAGGCCACATCTTGTGTCTTCTTATTGTCCAGCAGTTCCAATTTCACCAGCACATCAGATCTTAGCCGAGCGAACCTGGCTCTAGCATCTTGACGGCATCGCAGAATTAGCCTGGAAAATATGATGAAGTATTTAAAGCTGCATGTCCTTTAGGGTTGTCGAACTCTCTAAAGGTTTTTTGGTTTGCCTATGGACGCCTGGTGTTTCAGGCGTCCATAGGCTACGGTAACCGTTTACCATCAGATAGGCCGTATGCTTGTTTGCCACCTAAGTGGTATAAAAAAAAGGACCAATGCCGGAGAATTTTTACGTTTTACATTTTATCCGATATATATTTAAGATTTTATCGGATTATATATATGGTATTTATAACAGACTAGTACCCATAACAAAAGCTCTGCTTACGTTGAGTCTTAACTCAATGTACAACAACAACTCAACATAAAAAAAAAGAAAATAAAAGAAAAAATAAAAAATAATAAGAACAAAATTGTTGTATCATTGTTAGGTCGGTCTTTTCAAACCACCCACGTACAACGTTGTCTATGGTTTACAAACCTGTACTCATAATTCCCAGTTTCAACTCTATACAATGGTTCTTGTAAAGCGTTGTATCCATATTCTTCATCATCCATCTCTTTGACCTTCAAGCAGTAGGACAGGTACTCAAACTTGGTATCCGCGTACTTGCGGATGGTCAGTTTGGTATCAGGTATTGCCTTGTTGAGGTATGTGCCCATATCTGCCAAAATCTGAAGAGAATAGAGTCAAATAATTTCAAATCTAAATTACATAAAAATGTGCCGAACTGTAGGTGATGCCATGCGTTATTAATATATGTTATTATTTTTATGATTAATTTTATTATTGTATATATATGTATATGTATAAATATACGTGATGATATATACATACATGATTTTTTTAATAAATAGATACTTTTATGAACGATTTTTATAAATATCAATTTACCGGTTTCAATAAAATATTGTAAATGGCCCAAGACCCCGGTGAAGAGTTCCTAAAATAACTGTATGCATAATCGAGTTATTAGATCGGATACTTTCACCAAAAGTAAAAAAATCGAGCGCCATCCCAGACTATGGCCCATCTATTGTCGTCCTTTGTGCCCAACATCCAGCACAAAGAAGGATCTAAAAATGCGACAGAATGCGCAAAAGTCATTGCAACATTCTGGGGAAAGAACATTTAGTTGTCACTAAAACGAAAGAAGAAGAATTAAAAAAAAAATACTTACAGGTTTTAAAGCCTTTAACATCTTGATACCATCTCGTTCTAGAAGTCTGTGGTATTGTCCAAACTTGCTGAATGCTTCCGAAGCCCTCGCTTGGGGCTCCCGAACTCCGATTGCGGCAAAGATGTCACCAACTGACTTGTATGTTTGGAGCAAATCAAAATAGGCTTTTAACATTCTGAAAAGATATATAGAATACACATATATATACAGGGTGCGTCAGAATATAATACAAAGCCCTTTTGCCCAGACTATGCACTGTGGGGCAGGATGGATTGATGGAGGAGGATTATGAATTTGTAGGCACCTGGGCTAAATGTACTTAGGGGCCAGGGGGAAGAGGAAAGTTAGCAATGTTCCATCATATCAGGTTCACCTCCTACCCCCTGGAAACTGTCGTGATAAATTCATGGCAAATTTAACACGATGGGCTAACTGACCTGACCTCATGTACATTTTATCATCCTCAACTGGTGCCCCACCATCGTAAACCGTTAGCGCAGTTTAATATTATAAACGCGAAATTTGTGAGTATGTATGGATGTTTATTACTCTTTCACGCAAAAACTACTGAACGGATTTTGATAAAACTTTACAGTAATATTGCTTATACATCAGAATAACACACATAGGCTATAATTGAAAAAGATAGAATGTAAATGGAGTATGTGTGAGATAGACGAATTTGCGTGGGTCAGCTAGTTTTATTTTTATTCTAAATATCGCCTATTGTTTTCAGTTAATGATAGTACAATAACCAACCTTTTTGCGTGTTCAACCAATCTTTTATACGTAGTCTCAGTGTCTCTTAGTTCATCCAATTTAGCTACTAGTGTATCGTTACACAATATAGCTCTGGACAGACCCAGTGCATCCGCCGCTCCAGATGACATGTTCTCTACCAGTCTATGCTTCATCTTCTTCATTATGATATCTAGAGACTTCCCTTGTTTTGGATCAGCGTGTAGTTTGTTGTAGTTTATTGTTACTTCATCCTTAAAAATTTAAAGACAAAATTTTTGATAAGTTGCCTCAGCCTGCGCTAACAGTATATGCTGGGGCACCAGTGGATAATGTTAGGATGATCATAAAATCAAGTCTGTTAGGCCATCATGTTGAATTAGAATTAGAATTAACCACGGTGGATTTAGGGTGTCTAGCCCTAGTACTAACAATCCCATTCGCTCGTAAAGGGAATTCATTAAGATTTTGATAGATTTCTGGGTATTTTCTATGTATAGTTAGTATATATTTATAAAAAAAACTTTCAGACGCCACAGACTTGGTTTTATAATATAATAAAGGCAAGGCAATGTGGCAGAAATGCAAATGTTGAGATGGATGTGTGGGGTAACCAGGAATGACAGAATAAGGAACGTGTATATACGAGGAAGTTTGAAAGTTGTGCCGGTTACAGACAAGTTGCGAGGTAACAGATTGAGCTGGTATGGGCATGTTATGCGGAGGAACAAGGACCATGTCTTAAGGAAAGTATATAATATGAATGTAGATGGATGGAAAGGGAGAGGATGCCCTAAAAAAAGATGGATGGAATGTGAGAAAGATGATATGAATAAAAGAAGAGTATGAGACGCCCAATAGATTTCAGTGGAAAAGAATGACAAACTGCGCCGACCCTAAATAATGGGATAAATGCAAAGCAATGATGAATAAAGGCAAGGCAATATTTAATTGTGCCTAAACTAAAACATATATATGTATATATAGTACATAAATTGTATTATATATATATGTAAGTAGTATATGTAAATTATTATTATTTAGTATTCCTATGCCTTTTTTATTTCTCTAGTCCATTCTTGCGCCATCTACCACTTTCCGTCCTCTCTCCTCTACCCAAAGGTTGTCAGGAAGAGATTGCTTAAGCGATAAGACCGCCTTTTGTACCTTATTACTTATTACTTGTTTGTTCTTTGTTTAATTGTTTGTCTTTCTGGTGCAATAAAGTGTTAATAAATAAAATAAATAAATAAAACCAATCGTACCTACCTTGGCAGCTTGTATCATTTTGGCCACTTCCACTTTTGTCTTTCCTTTCACAGACTGACTGTTGACTCCGACCAACTCATCACCACTTTGTAGAGTACCCTCCTTAGCTGCTGGAGTATTGTCAAATATCTGTAAAGATAATATACTTTTAAAAACACTATTATTTATCATGATATCCTATGTAGTTGTAGCCCACTCATAAATAAACGTAATATCTCCTTTGACAAGTATACAATTTATCCTGAGAAGATAAAAACCATCGCTCTTAAGAATATCCTTCAATTCTTGTTCCTGACAGGTCTACGTAGCGGACTTCGTAAAAAAGGGCCAGCACAATAGATCTATGCATGTCACAAAGCTACAGGTCTTAGAACCTGACAATAGCCCAACAATCCTAAAAAAATACAGTGATAGACAATGTAAGTCGTCTATAGCCTACTTTGCTAAATGCGCTATCTAAGTCAAGAAGAAGAATTTTGAAAATGGGATTAGTAGTTAGTGATAAAATATACAAAATGACAAACTCTATCTTTGTATATTATTAGTAAAAATAATAATAATAAATAACTCTGGACAATGAACACAGCGCCATATTATCGACCCCGCCACCATCGGAAGTAAAGCGGTGTGCTAAAGCGCTAGACCACCGAGGCCGTCTATAGTCGCGGATTCGTTTCCTGGCACGGTGCACACATTTGTATTCATGAGTATGATTGTATAGTCCTGGATGTTTTCTATGTATATTATGTAGTTTTGCAAAAAATAAAAATTATCTATGTATTTATATCAGTTGTCTTGTACCCATAACACAAGCTCTGCTTACCGTGGGACTAGATGGCGCTGTGTTAATTGTCCAGAGTTATTTATTATTAGACAGTGAAATTAAGTGATAAGGGGCAGAAATTTTATTACTGTGGGCCCAACTGAAAATCAGCGCTGAAAGTGTTTCCAGCGTTCAGTTGTGGTCCACATCGACTCTGTTTTTTAATGTGTAAATTGTTCCTTGGATTTCTTATGTTTAAAACGAGTTAATAAATTATATTCTGTTCTATATACTTTTAATAAAAAACAAGGATCTAGACACGCGGAAGCGTGTCAAAGCCGAGTTCAAGTAAGAGATTAAATTCTACGTGGACGAAGTCGCGTGTATCAGCTAGTTTTTACTAAAATAAACTGTTGATTAATATATAAGTAACTAACCTGTACAATGTATAGACATGGACACAGTGGCGCTCCACCTCCTATACTGATGCCTATTAAATTCTTTTCATCCTTACTGAGCACCACACTCCCTGATGTCACCGTCATACCCCTGAAACATTGAAGTTATATTACTGTATCTTCTCCTCTCTTCTCTTTTCTTCTATCTCTTCGAATTAGATAGCTATATTGACGGCCTCGGTGGACTAGTGGTTTAGCACACCGTTTTACTTTAGATGGTCGAGGTTCGAACCTCTAGCGGTGCCCTCAGACTAGAGTCGTATACGTAAGACGGGACTGGGCCTTCAGCCGCTCCATGAGTCCTTCCGCGGGTTTGGAGTGCCATTTGTACTCGCCACCTATCGTCCGGTGAAGCTGTAAAAGCCAGCTGTGGCTAACAGTATTAGGTAGCCCGACTTTTTTTTTATAACATTAGCTATCTACCCCTATCGTTATTTAATTGTAGTTTATTTTAGTACCCGCATATCAGATGCATTACAAACTTATTTATTGAAAGTTCATTGCACTTGAAATTTATCGATTTGGAATATTCAAGCAACTTGGCACTTTTTCACTAAGTGCTTATAAACGTTATACGGTACTTCCATAAATTAATACTTTTTTTAAAATTCGTTTCTCTGACTGTCTATTTGTTCTTGCTAATCTCAGAAACGGCTGAACGTATTTCAACTGCGTTCGACTTTCATTTGCAAATAACTAATAATATAAGGAGTAAGTTAGGACTTATGGAGCGGCTGAAAGCCAACTCCCGGTTGATGGATACGCTAGGCTAGGGGTTCGAACTTCGGCTCAGGTCGTCGTAATTTCGATTCCCGTTTGAATTTGACGGGGGATCGATCGCAGGGCACCGGTGTGGAGCGCGTAGGCGCCCGGTTGATTGCTCAGTATGGTTTGGTTGAGGTTGTTGTCTTCGCCGGCGAGGACGGTGTCGTGTGTGTGTATGAATTTGTGGTCGGGACGGAACGGGTGGACCCGTAGGAACATTAACTGCCGTTATGGGTTCGGGATCAATAAGAACGTGCCTCGTGTAATCTCAGGCTACTTTTATTTTAGAAGTTATTTTATGTAGTTACTTTTATTAAAAAAACCGAGTGCAATAGCTATTTAAAATAAAGACGAATTAAAGGATAACTATTACTTACAAATCTAATGCTATCAATTTATAACTAGGTTTATTATCGGTGTGTTCACATGTTAAGCGGAGCGCGTTTACTCTTAAGAACTCGACCTTACCGATCGGAATATTTTTGAGTGGTAAACAACAGAGGCCCGAAGATAGACCTTCGATGAAATTTTGGTCTCGATCGGTCAAGTCGCTTCGGAGTATCGTTACAAAAAGTGCAAATCTGATCTCTAAGATGGCTCCGCACGTCGCGCTCCGCTCAAGAACCTCCAATTCACTAATATCTATAAATTTGTACTTACTATGACATATCTAGCAAAGGTTGTAGGTATGGTATAAAATAAAACAATACTACATATTTTTTGATATAAATTTATTTACAAAACTTCTGGCAAATTACATGCGATCTAGCGTCCACTACACTTGCTTTTAATATCTGAAAAAAAATCACACATTTTAAATTTTTTTTTAATAGCAGGATCTAACCGAAATAGTGTTTAATATTTATAGAGTTGTGTACTCACACATTTCAACTTAAAAATGTAGTTACAACTAAATTATTTAAAAGAGCAACACGCAAGTTTCTTGTTCCTCCTTCTTCTGGTGAAGCAACTTTCCGAATGAGCGGTAGATTAAAAAAATATGTAAGGACTATTGAAAAGTGATTATTTGAATAAATAATTTTGTATTCTATTCTATAGGTTTAGAATCTTCCTGATGACAATCTAAGTTATTAAACACTATTTTGATTAGACGATATATTGGGCGAAATGTTCTGTTCAATTAATTGATCCATGATTCATTGTGATATATTTGTGAAATGAAGTATGATATTTATTCATTAAATTTATAAATTAGTACATGGACCAAAAAGAAAATGAAATCTTTTGCAAATACTAGTTTAAGTAATTCCGAACTGACGGTAGATTTGACATATCATAAAAGTCTGTAATAGACCTTCAATGAATAAAGATATTCTGATTATTATTTTTGACTTAAAAAAATACAAATAGTTTCTACAAAGAGGAACAGAACGTTAGTATACACACATTTCTACTGCTTTATTGTTATTGGTGTTAATACTAAATGAAGTGTGTTCAAGCAAATAACACAGCAAATTAAATACAGGCGCATTAATAAATAAATCTATATATATATTACTCAAAGGTGACTGACATAGTGATCTATCAACGCACAGCCCAAACCACTGGACGGATCGGTCTGAAATTTGGCATGCAGATAGATGTTATAACGTAGGCATCCGCTAAGAAAGGATTTTGATTAATTCTACCCCCATGGGGATAAAATAGGGGATGAAAGTTTTTATGAAACTTTGTCAATTTCAAACCGATCGGGCTGAGACTTCGCATGCATAAATCTACTATGACGTAGGCATCCCCTAAGAAAGGGTTTGATGGTGAATTCCACGCCTAAGGGGATAAATTAACGCGAGTGAAGCCGTGGGCAAAAGCTAGTGAATAATAAATAGCTAAATAAAAAGACGTTAGTAGACAAGTAACTTACATTAAATCCTGATGATAAATCATATATCTTTCGTAGCGCAGATCATTGAAAATGCAATCGGTATTATCAATATTTTGTCTTTCATTTGATGATCTGTCAAAATAAATTCATAATTATGTATTTATTTCTGTAAAAGCTGTTTTTATCTCTAAGAACTCTATATTGTACTCTATATAATTTAGTAGAAGCCAGTCAGGTGATAGAGTTTAAAATGCAACAAACATAAATTACTTGACGGCCTAAGTGGTCTAGCGGTTTAGCATATCGCTTTACTTCCGATGGTCGCGGGTTTGATTCCTCGTACGATACAGACATTTGTATTCATGAGTATGATTATTTGTGTTGATCAGGATGTTTTCTATGTATATTATGAATTTACAGTAAATTGCAGGATAAGAGGCATGATACCTCAGTTCTCCAGAATGAGTGGCATCACGAGCATCACATGATAACGTGATATCCGTAGTTCTATTCTTGTATATAGGCGATGGTTACCACTTACCATCAGGTTAGAGTGAGCTTATTTACTCTCTACAAATATTTAGTGTGGAAACTTGACTACCGTTACGACTTTCTCTAATGGCAATCAAATTTCGATCGTTATTGAGTCCGAACTCTATTGCCTGATGATGCCTCGCTCAGAGACGTAACATGTGTCGCAGTATGGGCAATATATCAGTTGATGTTAATGAGAGAAGTCAGTAAATGAGATATAGGTATCCTAGTTAAATACAGGCTCATTAGAATATTGCATTGTAAACTATGGTAATTAACTTTACTCATTGTTATGAAGATATTACTCAATGTACAGTTTCGCTCGATGGTTTAGCACACAGCCTTACTGGTAATGGTCGCGGATTCGATTCCTCGCACTGCACAAACATTTTTATTCATGAGTATGATTGTTTGTATCCTTCTGGTTGTTTTCTATGTATAATATGTACGTCTATGAATTTGTATCAGTTATCCAGTATAGATAACACAAGCTTTAGCTAACTTAACTTGGGTCTAGATGGCGCTGTGTGAATTGTCCTGTGATTATTATTGACCTGTAACACTGCCTGCATAGATCTATTGTGCTCGCCTTTGTTCAAAGTTCGCTACCTAGACTCGTGAGGGACAAGAATTGAAGGATATTCCTAGGAACGATGGTTTTTATCTCCTCAGGATAGAATGTAAACTGATATTTCGGTTATCCACTACATATCCTATGTGGTTGTAGCCCACTCATGGGATACAACCACATAGGATGTGTAGTGGCGTTTCCTCTTCTGCTTGGCAAAATCTGCAGATTGATGGTAAGCTAAGGTCTAATATCGCCATGTGCTTATTCAGCTTGCAGTGTGCAGTGAGGGCCCTGGTTATAATGCATATATTGTTTTTACTCAATAGTCCAACCGACGACCTCGGTGGTCTAGCGGTCTAGCACACCGCTTTACGTCCTATGGTCGCGGGTTCGATTCCTCGCACGGCACAAACATTTGTATTCATGAGTATGATTGTTTGTATCGTTCTGGGTGTTTTCTATGTATAATATGTATGTATTTACGAAAAAAAAATTATCTATGTACTTGTATCAGTTATCTAGTACCCGTAACACAAGCTTTAGCTAGCTTAAATTGGGACTAGATGGCTGTGTGAAAAAAAAAGAAGAAAAAATAGTAATAGTATGTAATATTATGTTATCTGTGGTAATAGTCTATTGGAGTACATAGGTAAATTATTATAACAACTTTCTAACTTAGACAATGCTCAAACCTTAAAACTGGGAAACTAGTATTGCATATGGCTATGTTATTTAGTGAATTCTAAAATAAATGGATGAAATGATCCAGACCATGATAAAATGATGAATTAGAATATGAATAATACTTACTCTACATCTGTTTTGGCTACATTAATCTTCGATTCTTGATGAGCACTGTATAATATATTTAATTTATTATACAAAAGTTTGAATAAAATTATTTTTATTAAAATCAATAAATTTAATAACCTTTCAATTTTATGAGTCTTATTAAAAATAATTTCTATATTCTTTCATTTATTTTCATATTGCATATACATATAATAAAGAATAAGACAAAATATCATAAATATTATAACAACTGAAAATTAAAATAAATTATTGACTACAATTAATAATGACTTAATTTATTTTAGTTATATTGTAATAGGTCCCTATCTTTTACTGTATTCTAACTTACCTGTCCTCTATGGATAATAACAAAGAACGAGTAAATGTTGCAGCCCGTTTGCTGTATAAAAAAAGCATATAACAAAAATATAAACAACTATAACTGAGTGTGTAGTAGCATATAGGGACGGTTACAGTTTACTATAGGTGGCCTAAATGCTTGTTTCCCATTCCAATTAAATAAAAAATAGATACTCAGACTGTAAAATAAATTTGTAATTTTACGTTAAAAAAACATGCAATGTAAAATAAGAAGAAAAAGAAAAATATATAACATTTTCAAAAATCCTGATACTTACTATACCTTCTTATGGATAGGGTTTTTTTATGGATTTATTAGAGTATTTAATTTTTTTATAATTATGTTATGTAATAAATATGGACAACTTAAATATATAGGTACGTAATATTTTTTTATAATTTTAATAGACGCAATAGCAAAGAAGTATAAAGTACTACAAGTACTCTTATTACTGTAATCTAATACTTATTTAGCACTCTACCTTATTAAAAAAAGTATTTTTACATTTCTAAAACTCTGTTCTATGTAAATACAAAATGAACTATTACATTCCTCAAACACAACTCTCTATAAATAGAAAATATACCTTTGAATTCTTAAATATTATATTCTAGAAACGCTGCATGAACTTTTATATTACTCAAATATGTTCTATTTAACTATAAAATGAACTTTTAGATTATTCAAACGCCAATCTATTTAAATATAAAATGAACCATAAAGTCAATGAAATAGGGTTTTAATTAAATACAATACGTAACTTTACATTTCTATAAGGCCGGTAAATAATAGAACTTAAAAAAATACAAAAATTACATTTTGTCCTCATAAGCGTGCGCCATCATATAGAATTGTGGATAAATCCTTGGATCGTTGAATGGGAAGAACTGGTTCGATTGTTGCCACATAATACACACACGACACTAAAATACACAACAGAGCCCAGCAAATACTGAGTCAATCGAAATCAAACAAGAGATAACAAACTGCAACAGAGGAAGTTAGTTAAGTACCTACTTATCACTGATAATGTTCATAATTAAAAAAAAAGCTTAAAACTATACTGTACTTACATTTTATCCTCTTCGAAAAAGAATTCGTCGTCATATTCTTGCATCATTTTGCAAATATTACACTAATATTGTTCTAGATTATACAGAAATGTCACAGGCCGATTGTCAGAATTATTGATTTTTCCCGGGTTCTGTTTATTTACGTGGATGTCGGTAAAACAGCCCCGCTGTCCGCCATATTGAAAAACTCGACCAATCAGTTGTTCAAAAATAAACGAGGCAAAGGAATTTATTTCGTTTATGATTTCTTGTTATATATTATCCCATAATTTTAATACTAGTGACTTGCTCGTTACATTTATTCCTTTAAAATAAGTCACTAAAATCTTGCTAACAATGTTTGTAATTCCTTCGATGGGTTTTCAAGTTCCATTATAAATAAAATGCCTTCCTTTAAACTTTATATATATAAATACACATTTGTAACTTTTACGGTTTTATTTTTATATATGTTTTATCATTTTGCAAGAGGATAGTTAGAGCTTGCCTATCTGGCTATTTATATATTTTAAACATAAAGTTCTACAGGCTCTACGTTTAGTGCTGCCATCTCCTCTCGTTTTGTTAACCCACGATTTATGGTTTTGGCAGTGTGTGTACTAAAACAGTATTTATATAGAAAAACCCACTTACAACACACAAAGCCTAACATTAGTCCTCATACACAATGACGAAATAAAATTGAATTTAACAAATATATTTTTCTAATTTTATCTAGGAATTGTTGTCATATTTAAAATGAATGACATGTTTGCTTGAAGGAAGTCATTAGTTCAATGATGTAATAGAACTTGATATTAATATTAAATACTTATCGTTAGGGTTGAATATATACCTAAAATTATATGTAACTCGGTTTACGGTTGTTTGTTGTAAAATTTTATGAGAAGAACACAACAGGGTTTAAGAAAATTAAAATGTAATGTATTTAATAACTTCAATAAAGTTCACTAAATTATATTATTTATATACAACGTACCCCGCAAATAAAGACGATACTAAACAGTGGGCATCGATGGAAAGACACGAATTTACAATTCAGTAATATGCCCATTCCTGCCTTATATAAATGAAAAAAAAATGTATGTTTTTTTAATATCTAGTGTCAACCCTAACTAAATTGTTAAGTAACCAAACCTGGACTGCTTTAAATGTAAAAGTTGCAATAAACATGTTGTTTCGTTTGGTATAGGTAGGTATAACCAGTGCCTTGGAGTGCGTCACGCGTGTCGGTTTCGTATCATTGAAGTGGTATTTTCACAATGAAAACAATAATAGTGAGTTTCCAAATATAGAAAACTAACTAGGCGAAATGAGTGATTAAAAAAAAAATTTCCCGCGTATAATTGACAGTTTTTTTTCAGTTGATATTGTGTCTATGGAATCTGCTTTATCGCAAAATTTAAATAGTATCCGTTATATACCATTTAAATTAATAAAAAAAAACTGCAATATTTTCCCGCGTATATTAAACAAGTATTGTTGTTGTTTTTTAATTAGTAATATTTTTGTTGTTTTTAGTAGTTGACTGTTATTTTTTTTCAGTTGACATTGTGTCTATGGAATCTTCTTTATCGGTATACTGATGCTCAAAGTGCTGACAATGTTCCGCTGGGTCCGATCGAGAGTTTCATACGCACAAACTTGATAGGGCATCCAGTAATCCTCAAACCACAGACTTGGGAATTTGATCCTGATATTGCTCTGCGCCGAAGAAAACAGTTTATCGAGCTGAATGGTGATAAAGGGGAAAAATTAATCGAAAGAATTGGTCTAGGCATAGATGGTCGGGATCAAGAAAGATTACTCAGACAAAGACAAAGGGATGAAGGACATTTGGGAGGATTAAATTATTTTCTACCATGATACTGTAGTATAAGTAGATAGTACAAATTAAATATTCAGGTAATTCTTCAATACCCTGTAATTTCATAAGAAATCAAAATCTCAAATATCTTTATCTATGTAGGTCTATTACAGACTCTTATGAAATATCAAATCTATCGTTAATTCAGAGTGTTTCGAGCTGAGAACAACTGAAAAGGCTCTTATTCTTTTCTTGTACATATTTCAAAAATACAGATTCTTTTTTGAGTTCATATTAAGGAGAATAGAGTGACCGTGCGTGTAAATTGCAATAGCATATGCTATTGCAATTTTGTTAAAAGGAAATAGTCTAATTAGTGGCCACGACCCGACATAACAGACTAGGTGTATCCTATCATTCAAAATAGAACAACTTCCAAAGTACACTGCTAACTACGGAACCTTGTACATGTTTTTTATACTAAGTCTTTCTCTGATAGTTATGAAGTTCTTACATTCTTACTATTCATAAATATTATCTATTTAAAACGATTGTTCTACTTTTTCAGTTAAGTTCAACAAACAAGGCCTCTTCGTGCATATTTTACGTCATGTATCCAACAATATTAAGCCAATTTTGGTGAAACTTTACGAAGGTTACGGATTGGAGCTGTTTCCTGTGGCACAAAATCTTCATACTTAGTGCAAATTGTGATAATAATGGAATAATTAAATAATAATGATACAGAAGTTTTATTTACATCTAAATATTTCAATAGATCTAAGATATAATAATACTAAGATACATTCTTATCTAAATGGGGTAGATAGAGGCATTGTCAGCTATTGACGCAACCTTCGATATTCCCAAACTCTCAAAATATGTTAAAGTGACAGTGGGCAAGCCTTGAGTCTTCACTTTGGATTAATCAGTGTTTACAGTTAGTCAGAAATATAAAATGTTACACTATGATTAGTGTTTATTCATTAATATTATGGTTTATTCATTATTATATAATTCTTGGGATAGGCGAAAGACGAGTGCATGTAATAGAAGTGCGAATGTAGAGATGGATGTGTGGGGTAACCAGGAATGATAGAACAAGGAATTATATTCAAGGAAGCGAGGGCCATGTCTTAAGGAAAGTATTTAACATTTTTGTGGATGGATGGAAAGGGATAGGATGACCGAAAGGAGAGTGAGCTTAGATATGACTGCTGACAGGGATCAGTGGAAGAGAACATTCTGAGCCGATCACAAACAATGGAATAAAGACAAGGCAATGATGATTAGGATAATGATACAGTTATTAGTGTCGGCCCTATTTGATCTCACGATCTTTGCGGTCTCGTAGTTAATGTTGTAATATCAAAATATTGTCGCAATAAAGATTTGATTTGAATATTTTAAAACTGTTATCGTAAACGGTCTACCAGTTTATACTTGAAATAAAACAACAATAACATATGTAACCTATTTTCGAAGTCATGACCGGAATGAATTACATAACAATATGTATGAATCTATTGCTTAATCTATTCTTTAACAGGACCTGTATCGTATGTAGTCGTGTGTGTCAACCTTTCACCTTGGCTTCTTTTGCCTTGCGTGATGTTTTTAATTAAAATTCTTCGTGTTATCTATGGTTCGGATTACGTATATTCAATATAAGACTGCAAAAGTAACGATAAATTGAGAATCCATACGCATTAGGTACTAAATCAAGTGGTACTTGTTACTATGTCAACAATAGAATAAAATAGAATAGAATATATCTTTATTGCTAACTATGTGGGTAAATTAATTTGTAGTTAGTATAACAATATATATAGATATATGTATTAACAATTACACATAATTTACAACAAATGTGATTTATGATTGTATCACAAATTATTATTATTAAAGAATAGAATATATTTTATTATTACATGTTTTAAATTTATTACGTTCTTGTATTGTATTACTTTACTAGTCACTTTTAATACAAATGAATAATCACAATTTTTTACGCATTATATTTTTTAATGAAATCACTTTTATTTATATCATGACTGTATGTACTTTTTCCTTTGAGTCAAAATATCACTTCGGTATACGTGCTTTAGTCGTTACTTTGTGGTCATATATTAACGGTGCTTAGGTACATGTATAATATAACAGCTCTAGTACGATATCATTGTATCTCAGAACAATCACTAAAAGTTATCCGTTACCTAGTACAAAATACATATATATTGTAGGAATAATATGATGGAGAGACAGAGAGATGTAAAATTTTATCTTCAAAAATCAGACGAATTTACGGGTTACAACTAGTCGTCTATATAAGAACAGAAAAGGGTTATCTTCTAGTTTAAATAAATAGGTAAATTACATGAAATTGTATCTAAATATATATTACTCAAAGGTGACTGACATAGTGATCTATCAACGCACAGCCCAAACCACTAGTCGGATCGGGCTGAAATTTGGATTTTGATTAATATTACCAAGGGGATAAAATAGGGAATGAAAGTTTGTATGAAACTTTGTCAATTTTAAACCGATCAGGTTGAGACTTTGCATGCATAAAGCTACTATGACGTAGGCATCCCCTAAGAAAGGATTTGGATAAATTCCTCCACTAAGGGGATAAATGAAAGCGAGCGAAGCCGCGAGCAAAAGCTAGTTATTATATATACCGACAAGTAGCTACGTAAAAAAAGATTTTATGTGGACTTGTATGTATGACTAGGATCATCCGCACTGTCATTAGTGAGTGCTTGTTGATGTTGAGCGAACCCTGTTGCCCCGGTATCAAATCCAGGGATAACAACCTCGGACAAGTATAAAAAATAGCCTCTTGTAGACAGGAATTAATATTAATATATAAAATTGGAATAAACTAAACAGTTTTGTATTGTTTGTAGTTTTAGTAAACAGCAACATGGCGATTTTCTTTGTAACCAATGTTTCCAGATCTTAAGTATAGATGGCGTTGTTCCTTAAAATACATTGTTGAGAACATTGTAAGCTTTAAGTTATAAAAATCATTTTCATAAGTTAAGTAGCTTACTTCGGTACTCGTATTTCATTTATTTGTTTCCTAATAATTTGATAATTCTAAAGTCAAACTCAACGAATTGTACATTGCCACGGGTACTTACCAGGGGGAGTTAGGCTCTGGAGATGGTGTCCAGAGGATGTACTCTGTACGCCTAGATTAGAGTTCCCTTCATTGGAACTCGTACCGGGGTCTTCGACGAAAGTGCGAAAGTGGTCTACGTGGGCTCTATGTTTCCATCTGGAATAGTTATCAGGTTTTTATCCGGTCAGAATCTAGTAGAACCCATCGGCCTCTAAGTCGGTGGCCTTTTATCCTCACAGTTGCTTCGCAATACATTAACGAAAATATCATGTATGTGAGGAAAAATATTGAAAGTATCAAAAAAGTTTAGATTAGACTAATAAAAAGTTTACGTAATAACACCAATACTAGTTTTACCTAAGTGCCGTTTGACGAAAGTTAGCAATTTATTTTATGGGAATTGCATAAGGTTTTATAACAATCTGCCCTCAATCTGACAGATGAAAGATTCAAATGTCTTATTATATAAAACACTTTCTTTGTAAATATGCTTATTGTCAAATTGAAGATTTTATAAATCTTACTAATGTTTTTGTAGAAAAAAAGTAATTTAAAATATATAGCAATTATTTGATTGCACAAAGGTAGCGTAATGGTTTCTATGTTTATTGTTGCATGCGACAAGGATTCCTTGTTAATGTATGTTTCTAAGAACAACATTTATTTAAGCAACACGCAAGTTAGTTTCTCATTCTACTTGTGATGAGTCTGCGTTCCGAATGACTGTATCCGAAACTTATTAATTGATGCTATCGCACTTTGTTTAAATTTATTTAACACTGGTTAAAACTGGAATATTTTTTACTTTCTTTCGCCTCTCGTTCCATTCATAGATAAAAAATTTTCACCAGTAAATAGGATATTAGATCTATGCAACTCAATCCATTAATATATTCCGTCATTTAACGGAGACTTGAGTGGTTTGTTTGGCTAATATAAGAGCTACCACAACAGTTAATTTTATAGACACAGAGCTTTTAACGTAAACCTTTTCAGAGCGTATAATGTGTTTAAAGACGAAGGTTAAAAATAGTCTAATAAAAATTCATACCATCTCCTAAATAATAACAATAATAAACCTATTTTAGGTTTTAAACTTCTTTATCGTTCTTATTTTGAAAGTGCCTATATTAAAAAATAAAATAGGTTTGTAGATTTTATTTTAATGAAAAAGAAGGTATTTTATTACAAAACCTACCTCTGTCTATTTCTGCTGCCAACAGTTTTGCTTTCCGAACTGTGTTCACAAGGTTACCATAGGCCATAACATCATTAATTGATGTTTAAATAAAACAATATATATATTTGAATATCATTTCATTTATTTATTTCATATGAATTACAATATCGAGAAATGAAACATTACGATAATGACATTAATTAGAAAATATCCTAAGAAATTATTGGAAATAGGATACCTAGCTTATAGTAAACATCGAGAATTTCATTTGGATTACTTTTAAATATTAGAGAGTACATTAAATTTGTTACGATGATAAAAATTATCGAAGATTCAAAACGTTCACATTATCTAAGCAAATTATTTGTTTGAACCTCCAAGAAATTTATCGATTGTCTTAGTAAAAATATATAAGTAAGCCTAACTAATGTTTTATAGTTATAGAATCAGGAAATATTTGAAATATCGTGTTTTATTTTTTTGTATATAAGAATAATGTGAACAGTTCAAAACATAATAGAGCTATAATTTAAGATATAATTCAAAACGACAAAGCAAACTACATAAATATACATAAAGTCAATTAACACAAAGTTCCGAATATATTACACATTTTCATCTAGTTTTAAAGAAAGCTGAGGCTGCATTATGAAAACTGTTAATGTGAATACCTACATTTCAAAAATCAAAAATCATGGAAGTTATAGGGCACTTAATAAAAATAAAAATACGTATAAATAATGACCGCGTCAGATTTAAAACAGCATACATTTAATTTGTAATAATATAATTATTACATACATAAAAAGTTCAATATAAACAAATTGTATTAAGCGGGAATGAAATCCACGACCATCTAAAGATACGTTGCAATTTAGTTTGAATAATTCAGTGTTAGGTAGCGCTGAGATTTATGATAAACAAATTTTATAAATTGCAACATTAGTATGAAATATTAATTACATTTCCTGATTTCCATAACTATAATGGTCAAGTATCAAAATATCAAATAAAGTAAGTAGGTAAGTATAAAAAATTCTATAACACTATGACTGTAAGTAATAAACACGATAAATGCATAGGTATCAAAAAAGATTTCGTTTTGTCTTAACTAACTAAACAAAGATATTGTGACTGGTTCTCTTAAAATTAAATTACCTAGAAAGACTAATATTAAAGACGAAAATATAAGGGAAGCAGTTATCAGTCTTTAAACCTAAGTAAATAGCTTTAATATACTACGTTACGATGATTATAACACACGAGGTGGAATTTCAGCCCGAGCAGAAACCGAGGGCGTAATAGAGCCCAGTGTGTTAAATACGCACGTATATCGTACGACGTTTTTCAACACACTTGATTTTAAATAAACTCAACGATAAAACTGTGATGCACACTGTTGCTTTCTCGCCGTTTTACTTTTTTTAATCAGCGCGCTGCATAAGTACTGGCTGGCGAAATGAAATAGCAAATAGTGCGGTTATGGAGTATATCTTCACTATTTGTATTTATAAAGCACGTGTTTTATAAGCTGCTTTATATATCAAAAACCGGTGGAAATAGATCCACTTTACGGGCAAGTGTATTGAAAACGTACTAATAATATTAGAAAAAATATTAAAGACATCTAAGACTATTTAGTTTAACAATGAGTCTGACCATAATTTTTCATATAGTAACTAGAAGTAAAATACATGTGTATTACACGTATTTTAATTTTAATTGTTAAAATAGTTCGGATATTACAACTTTCCAGTTGAAACGGAATGCCTTATGTTAAAACGTTACGGGATCCTCAGAATAAGAATGATAATAGAAACGTTTTGTATTGTTGTTTTTTGATTACTTAATTTGATTAAAACACCAATACTTATTTTTTATAAAATATTAAGAATACATATGTATTTAAATAAATAAAAAATAGTCCAAATAGTAAAACTACTTTCTGTATGCTTACTGTTGGTATTTAATTACATGTAATAAACGACTGTGAACTCTATTATTATACACTTACAATTTAATATAAAATTTAACATGTAGGTCAGACCCATTGGGTCAAAATAACAAGCACATAGTACTCTATTATTCAATGAAGGAAAATTTGGAACCAATAGCTTAAACCAAGCAATTTAGGTTCAAATTTGTTTTCTACTGCTTCAAATAATGATAAAATTAAACTGGGTAATAACTAATAACATTTTATTTGTATCATAGTTTCGTTCGACAAAAGCATTCGTGAATCATTTCGTAGATTAAAATGTCCTTTTAGTTCAAAATTACTAAGTTACAAGTTATAGTTCTTGGTGAAACCAAGCTTAAAAGCAATAAATATAAAAATTCGTAATTTACGACACAATACAACTTTGCAATAATTCTGTTCCTTGGTTTCAACCGTTTTTCAAACTACATCTGAACCAATTTTAGTCAAATTGATTCGATAATTTGTGTAAGGATAAGCAGACAGACAAACTGTATAGTATTATTAAGGATCAAAGAACTGCTAAGTGCGTCCCACATACTTCTATAAAAAAAACGACAAGTTTTATTTATGGGCAATAATTATTGGAAACAAAATATAGATGGCGCTACTCAATATTTTAAAATTCATTATGCTACATATGATAACTACAGGATAGTGACATAAAAAAACTGTTAACCATTTTCTCTACCAAAAATATTCATCTATTTCATATTTTGCTGTTTCTTACATCAAAACGAAATTTTTTAGTGTCAATGGGAATCTACTGTTTCCTAAGTGAATCATAATTACTGAATATGATTTTGGAAATTGATATATCTACCTAATGTAGAAGTTGAGTCCCTAGTTTATAGAGAAATTGTAGTATATATACTTAATTAACGAGACAATTACTATTGTCAAATTAAGTAAATCAATATTTATTATTCATAAATCCGCGCCATCTTTCTTTTATTAAAAAGTAAAAATATTAAAGAAAACATTTATACTTGCTTGGATGGATATGTGCACAAAATAATTTCATAACTCAAAACATATTACGAAATTCAACTAAACTGTACGCAAATTATAATGATTTTATTTATAATTCCTACGTTTCTTCTACTTTGATTGATATAGCATTACAGAAAGAACTGATCTTTTTACTTAATAAGGCACCTCGCTTTTTTGGTTTACAAAGAGAAATTAGGAATTTAAAATCTAATAAACTAGTACGCCGAATTTTAAAAGGACTAATAAAGAATAATTACATTATATCTTATATCTAAAAGAACACCAAAAAATTATTACACCGTAATATGGCATTTAAATCATAAATAACAATTTATAATTATTAAGAGATCAAACAAGTTTTTTTTATTTAGGTAAAATCAATGTCACAATTTATTTATCTAAAATTTGCCTCCGTTAATGAATGAATGATAATAGCAATTTTTTATGAGTAATTATGAAAGTGTTCAATTATTTTACCCTCATATATCCTAAAAATGGTTATTTTTTTTACTCGAATTCAAGCATATACATGAAAGAAATAAAAAATATATACATACATATCTATACATAGTCTGGCCATAAATAAAAATAAACAAAATATTCGATTTGAATTTGGAATCTATCATTCTTTATCGATTGCTCATTGAGTTCTCATTTTCGCGCCAATATCGCGCGCTTGTCAAATATTTAGGTATAGATTAGTAAAAACAGAATGTTTAGATATTAGTAAGTTAAATTTACATACTTTTATGTATTATAGTCACATTTTACTTAAAATATCTACATGTATAAAAATTATATATAGATTATACATATTTTAATAATGTATAAACGATATTTTAAAAATAAGATGGCAAAATATAAGAACATAATATACCTAATATATATGACACTCCTTCGGATGGGCCGTATGCTTGAACAAATATAAAAAAATATATAATATGGTCATCAGAACAATCAGCCAGTTACATACTTAATATTTCATTATAATGGGTTAATAGTGTCATTATTATTAAAAAAATACATATATTTATTATTATTTAGGTAAAATAACCAAGGATTCTTATGGAGGCAAAATTAAGCAATTCTATAAAAAAAATGACAATATATTTCTTCTTCCAATTAGTTTGCTTCCCCGTGATTATCTTCTGTCTCTTGATGCTTCTTACGTTTCTTCTGTAATATTGTAGACCTGAAATTAGAAAAATGAAAACCTATCAGATTATTTATATTTAGTTATTTTACATTACCGGAGGCATCTATTAAATAAAAAGTCGTGCACTCACTGGACTGTAGACTTACATAGTAATTTACCTACCAATCCGATTATAGTACAATTACTGATTGCGGATATACAAGGACAAAAAAAAAAGTTATTTTACATATATTTAAATTTTCTATGCTATACAGCGGAAGCGAATAACGTCCCTATTAGGCAGAGTGCGGGCGAGTTCCAACAGTGTCCTGAAGACAATTGCTTGTAAAGTAGACTGTCCCATTCTAAGACACTGGGCGGGACAGGGGACAGGTAATATGTTAAAAGTTACATTTTTATTTTATTATATATTTTATTACTAACATAGGATAAGTTATGTCATTAAGCTGTTACTAACACAATGGATCATGTTGTCTGAAATAAAAATTATTATTATTATTTATTATTATATATTATAACTTGTTAACCCGGTAAATGTTATTTTGCCGTATAAATTAAAACCGTTAATTAAAAAAATACAGGTAAATTATGGTAAATGGGTCAAAATTTAGGGTTGTATGTATTTGTTAATGACGAATCATAAAAAAATTAAATCTTTGGGGTGGACCACCCTCATCACGTAGGGGTATGAAAAATAATTTACGTCCTATTCTCAGACCTTCTGAATATACACACAAAATTTCATAAGAATCGATCAAGCCGTTTTGTAGGAGTTTTGTTACAAACACTTTGACACGAGAATTTTATATATTAGATAGTATTTTTACAATACAACTGATTATAGAACTATTTACTATTTTCTTTTAGTACCCTCTGAATCACTATCTTATACTCTATGAATTTTTCTCTTTGTTTCCGATTCGCTACTATAGTCTTTGCATTGTAATAATACAAAAACGGTTTTTTTTTATAAATGCTGTTCCCGAACCGTTATAGCGTGAATATTCGATGTGATATCGTGCCGTCATAGTTAAGGCTTATCGACATAACGGTTCGTTTCGATTCCTTTTCGGGAAGTAACTGTGGGAAAATGCTATTTCATCATGACATATTGTGTTAGATAGAGACAAAAAATATGATCACAGATAACGTTCTCATTTCAAATTACTTAAAATTGTTGTTTGTTTAGTTTAGAGACATTATTTTTTATATATTTTTTTAAATTTATTTATTAATATAATAATATATAACAATAAAATTTGTTTACTATACTATAAAGGCTCGTGGTAAAATTGAATCTAAACTAATGGTGTATGTATAACTTTATTAATATCTTTAATGTTATCTTAATATAATAATATTACAAACGAGAAAGGTTGTAAATATGGATGCATGTTTGTTACTCCTTCACGCGAAAGCGACTGAACGGATTGTGATAAAACTTCACAGTAATATAGTTTATACATCAGAATAATACATAGGCTATAATTTTAAAATATATTATGTAAATTGATGAATATTGAAATAGTGATGCAGACGAATTTGCGCGGATCTGCTGGTTAATATACATATACAATCTCATTTGAAAAGCTTGCCACCTTCGAGGTATATAAAAAATGAGATCAGAGTTTCTTATCAATTGAGTACTTGGGATATTTGCTAAAAAAGATGTGTCTCAGTTTTACAAAATTACATATCACAGTGGAAATATGAACAGTCCCTTGAACTGAAATAAAACTTACAAATCAAATGGGTTGTTGTTCTAAAATAATTTTATTTAATTAAATATAACGGCTTCGGTGGTGTAGCGGTTTAGCACACCATTTTACTTCCAATGGTCGCTGGATCGATTCCTCGTACGGTACAAACATTTGTATTCATAAGTAAAATTGTATCACTCCGAGAGTTTTCTATGTATATTATGTATGTATTTACAAAAAAATAATTTCTATATTTCTATCAGTTGTCTAGTCCATAACATAAGCATTGCTTAGCTTAAAACTAGATGGCGCTGATGTGGATTGTCCGAAAAATATAGCTATAAATTATAGGTCATTATTACATAGTAAATAATAAAATATTTCCTAGTTATGATATAAAAAAACACTCCTAAAAGATCAAATAACAGATTTGTAAAAATCGACTTTAAGACTTGTAAATAGAATTCAATTTTCAGTTCATTTTATTAATGCGTCATTATCAAAGCACGACATGCATGACAAAGTTCAAATCTGTAAACCTTGCAATTTGTCAATCAACATTTCACCTCTGGCTTACCAACGTCTATTAGTTTTAACACGCATACCTATATAAAATGTAAAGGTCAAGAACTAGGTAAATGTTAGCTAATCATACACTTATAGTCAACTCACTCGGCTTAGATTAACTAACGACTATCTTTAAAGCCCAATAAAATTAATATTTATGTAATTTGTTTAGTAATAAGTATAGTAGCCAACAGAATATCAGCGCTGCAGAGTTATCTGTAGCATTATGCTGAGTTGGCTGCCTTTTCACTTTTGCGGCACATAAAGTCACCTACATTTCTTTTATTAATTCGTGTTTTTTCTGTATCTCATGTAGTAATTATCTCATGTATCATGTATTAAGTAAGAATTTATCTATCTATCTAATAACTACAAACATATTTTGCATGCATTTGTTATGGCATAACACATGATACCTACTATGCTTTAATAATCATCTTCTATACTGTGCTTTTGAGCAAATAAATTATTATTATTATTATAAAACTAGCTACTCGCCCCGGCCTCGCACGGGTGTACATGTATTATACATATAAACCTTCCTCTTGAATCACTCTATCTATTAAAAAAAAACACTTCGAAATCTGTTAGATTTAAGCATACATAGGGACTAGCATTGCCAGATGTCCCGTATTTCTCGGGACATCCCGTGTTTTAGGCTTAGTTTAAAATATCCCGGTGGGACTGACTCTATCCCGTATATCCCTTGTTCCGCTTTTTATTATTAAATCGATTATTATTAGACAATTTGTCTTTTGAAAATTTGACCCGAGTAAAAAACTAAATTCCCGTATTTTTTGCCTATTTAGGCGTTTGCCCTTTATAAGCTGAAAAAAAATCTGGCAACTCTAATAGGGACTGACAGACAGCGATAGCGACTTTCATACTATGTAAGTACTGAATTTGATTCTATGATGAATCAAATCAGATTCTATTCTGAAGATGTAAAAATTTGACGTTCATAAGCGGCTAAAATGTCCTACATGAATAAATGATTTTTGAATTTTTGAATTTTTTTGAATTCTTTATTATCCAATAACTTTGTGAAAGAGAAAGAAAGCTATCGTATATTGTTTTTTTTTTAAGACAACGCATGCTACATTTCAACCAGATTTTTTACGTATGTCAACATAGAACTTTTTTCTACGTGAACCGATTTCGAATATATTTATAAATGTAGATAGTAGCTTTCCGTGTGGTTCTTAATAAATTATCAATTAATTAAGTAATTAGGTAATTTCTTAGTTATCCTTAATAACGCGCTTATAGTCGGTTGTGTCGCGGCCTGAATACTTATAATTGTTTTTTGATGTATACATACTACTTAAACGTAACGCTATAAATCTGTTATTTACTGAATAATAAACAATTTTAATATAGGTATCGTTTCATATGGATATTAGAAAATCACTATAAAGGTTCGCGTCAAAAAATAACTTGAACAAAACGATAGACCTTTGTCTAACGTTTGTTAAAGTTTTTGCTTTTACAAGTTTGCGCACTATACAATTTTGTACATTATCTACATTCTACTTAAACCTAACACAATATTTCTGTTATTTACTAAATAATGAACAATTTTAACAGATCGTTGTACATGGAAATTAGAAAATCACTATAAAGTTTCGCGCCAAAAAAAAACTCGATCAAAACGATAGACCTTTGTCTAACGTTTGTTAAAGTTTTTGTTTCTACAAGTTTGCGCACTATACAATTTTGTACATTATCTACATTCTACTTAAACTTAACACAATATTCATGTTATTTACTAAATAATGAACAATTTTAACAGATCGTTTTATATGGAAATTAGAACATCGCTATAATAGTTCGCGCCAAAAAAAAACTTCAACAAAACGATAGACCTTTGTCTATGGTTTGTTCAAGTTTTTGCTTTGATTTTTTTACTTGCGCACTATACAATTTTGTACGTAAAACTGCTACTGCGCAGGTCACGTGATACCAGAATCGTGCTCAAGATATTTTCCGGTATCAGTACACAAACAAGTAACGTGGAAACTTCTTTATTCTATCTGTTTGTTCATTTTATATGCCGTTATATCTATAAAAAGACTTTTTCCAAGAATACTTACGAAATGTACGACTACTATCTAAAATAACAAAATACTTAGGAGCTATTCCTAAATTGAGGTCATAAGTATTGGAAGAGGGTCGATGATATGACAGTATGTGACAAGAGATGGAATGAGATCTAAGTTTTGTGACATCATTTTTCAAAATAATAATAATGTCAGGACAATTCACACAGCGCCATCTAGACCCAAGTTAAGCTACCTACAGCTTGTGTTATGGATACTAGTTAACTGATACAAATACATAGATATATTTTTTTTCATAAATACATACATATTATACATAGAAAACACCGAGCGATTAAACAATCATACTCATGAATACAAATGATTGTGCCGCGCATTCGTAGGAATCGAACCCGCGACCGTCGGAGGTAAGGCGGTAAAAATCTGGATGATCTAGATCTAAGTATTAAAAAGCAATACTATAATTATTATCGCTTAAAATGATACGTGAATAAAGTTGTTAGTTTAATTTCATAATTGTCGCTATAGTTAAATCGTTTCTAGATGTAATATTGCAAAATATGATAACCCCTCCGATCGATCCCCCGTCCAATTCAGACGGGGATCGAAATTACGACGGCCTGAGCCGAGATTCGAACCCTTAGCGGTGTCCTCAGACTAAAGTCGTATCCGTCAAGACGGGAGTTGGTCTTCAGCCGCTCCATAAGTC